GCACGTGCCGGGCACGCGCCCGGACCGGAGGGGGGGAAGGGGGGCAGAACACCGATCAGGCTGATATAGGCACCGTCGGCTCGGTAATGTGATGCATGGTGGGGTGTGCCGCTACGGACAGTTCGGAGAACATGCCTGCAGGATGAGTACTTTTCTGTGTTACACAAACAAGCGTTTCATTTTCACCCAATTTGTCTCGGCCGTTCTTCGAGAAGGATGTCATCCCAGCTGGCCGAGGCTCAAGAATAGCGTATATCACCATGCAGATACAACTTGACAATGAGCACGATCAAATTTGCTTCAAGCTGCACCTCACACAGTGCATGTCAATGCGACAAGAAACATCTCACTCATCTCCTAAGTGGACTCTTATTAACCGGCCCTTACTTTTAGGTTAAAGCTCTCCCGGCACACAGTGATGCTGCATTTCTATCTGTCTTTAGGCCGAATGTATGGTGTGTAGTGTTCCCTTTTCCGTCGCTTGTTTAGTGGTATGTTTTCACCACAGCTCATACTGGTATTTTGCATTACCTCCAAGCGTGAGTGTAATGCAGAGTGGGAATTTGTTTTGGGGATTCAGGGTTGGATTACCTTCTTCCTAACCACGTCGACGATGAAGATTTTTATCACCTCGCACTATGCAAAGTCGTGCAAAAAGAAGGTTTTTGTATGTTGGCATTAGCATATTTTGGCAAAACCTACTGGTTCCTTTATTTATGCTTTGTTTATCAACAACTGCCTTAAAAAGCTATGATTGCCAACTAAGCTTTTCGCACTCATGCTTTCCAGGTAACTGTCTTTGACTAAACTAATCTCAGCAAGCCTTCAATGTCATACATAGTTCACCACCATTAGAACTGCTAGCTCTCCTTCCCATCTAAATATCTCAGGAGTAGTTTGGAATCTGCATGCTGTTGACTTGCCTGGCTATGGCTTGAAGCCTTTGGCAGACCATTTTTTTGGTCTGCATATCTGTTATCTCTATCACAAAACCTGCAGCAAGACAATGGGTACAACCACAGGCACGGGTGGGCACCCTTCTCCCCCAAATGTCCGACTTGTTTCTGTTTGAATGTACAAATGTTTCTAAGAGAGGTTTCACAGATAAATAAATCAATGAGAACTGCGATGTCCTGTAAAGTTAAGTACAGCTGAGTGAGCTGGTCGGTTTTAGTTCTTCGCGGGTATTGCGTACTTCCTTGATTGTTTGCATTTGAATCGAAAGCCGAAATAGCTTGTATTTGATAATAGCTAAAATAGCTTGTGTTTGAATCACGATTCGGATGCTAAATACGCAGCAACACCCAGCACCTGCGCAGGACAGATTTAACCCCCGACCTCAACCGGCCGTCCCTACCTCCTAGTCTGCGGCCGGCTCCGGTCCGCACACGCGACCTCGGCCAGGTCACGTGGACAATGGTCCGGAGGCATAAACACAGCCGGCCGCGCCGGTTAACTGCTGACCAGGCCGCGCCCACGCGGCCATGCGACACGTTGTTTTCTGTTTTGCCTGCATACTGCATGATCTTTATTACGTAATCGATGTATTGGCGACTCTAGTCTAGTTTTGGTGCGCGACATTATTCAGCGATGTTCCCACTTCTACAGCCTGGAATTATTTGCGTTATTCTGCCTCGACTTCGTATCCGACGCCATAGAAACGAACGAGGCTGGGTCTCGTCAGTAAATCGTTGGTCAATGAAAACAAACTGATCGCATATTAGCAGACCAAACGGCGACGATTCTTCCAGTCGTCTTCATTCGAAAGCACAATTGGCATGTGCCAGCCCCCACTTCGACGTAAATTGCCAGTGAAACAATTTCAAAAGCCTCACGATCGACGCTCGCTGACCACACCGATAGCGGTAGTGGTCCGACAACCACCACCACTTAAACAACACAAGCCGCGTCGAACGTACTTGACTCGAGTGCTGCTGTCCAGCCCGCAACCTGTCCTGCGGTCGGGGGCTTCCGTGGTAACTTCGAACAGTGGCGCACAGCAACGAACACTGTGTCCCGAGGCTATGCACGTGAAACAACATTAAAGCCACGTGGCAACGGCCCTATTTGCTACACCGGCCCTATGTCGATAATTATTAGTTGGCTCCGACCCTCAAGGCCAAACATGATCCATAACACTGCCCCACGATGTCATCTGCGGAGACAAAGCGGGAAAACGTGTTTGAGGTGGGATGTGGTTTTCTATCCAGTTGTTTACTATTCAGTCGTGTCCTTTTCAGTCCAGCCCCCCCCCCCCCCCCTCCATCTTTGAGGATGAAGTGAGCCAGATCCGGGAGAAACCTGTCTTAGCGGGTTTTTTTTAGGTAAGTTTAGCCATTTTCTTCAGTTCATCACCCCAACCAATTTTATGAAACTGCATCCCTTTGGCGGAGGCTTAATGATGATGACACGCGCCGGCTTTACCACCACCTTTCTTCAGCGTCCAGTCCACAGCACATCTCCTAAGCAGAAATCGCCTGTATCAAGAGGCTGGTGGATCAAAATCACTCTGGGACATTCGGAAGTTTACACCAGCTGCGTCGGGGCGCTGCAGGTTTTGTGGATGTCAGCCGTATTGAAGCCGAATAATGAGCTGAAGCGTTTTCTTGCACTACACATCGCACACAGAGAGGGCGCCGAATTAAAGAAAATGAAATGCACAAAAGTGCAATGTCTGATTAAAGTTGTGTTTTGTTTCTAGTATATAAATGAGTACACTGCATTTTTTTAGAAACCAAAACCTCCATAGCGTACACATGCAAACCATGATCAAAACCGGTTTTAACTGGCAATATCCAGCCAGGCAGGCCTGTCTCAGCTGGTTACTGCCCACCCTGATTTTGAGAGGTAGGTCTTCAAAGCTTTGTCACATGTAGCACCTAATTGGGATTCAATGTTTTACGCAAGCGTTACCTGCAGTGTGGCCACTAACCAATGCCCGCCAGCTTTGCTGGGCATCACTGTAAGGTATCGTGCTGACGTAGTTGAGCCAGGGTCTTCGCTTCTGCTCACCTGAGCCAGCAGTGTCGGGATGTCGTCAGGTGCAGTGTGCAATCGGCCGCGCTCATCGGACACAATCGGGCCATCTTTTGCGGGCGGCGCCGGAGCGAGGCAGCAGGATGTCGGGCCCACGCGCGGCGTGCCGGACACGAGATGACGTCACGAGAATCCGCCGCGCGACGGGACGCACTGTTCGATAGCCAGTGACGTCAGCCGTCGCTCGCTCACGGGACCGAGGAGGGAGGGGGCTGGCGCGGACTGACATCATCAGCGACTGGTGAGGGGGGGGGGGGCTTAGCGCCGGCTGGCCCGGCGGAGGAGAGGTGATCATTCGCCCATCAGCGACCACGGCAAAACGTCCAGACTGGATGGCATAGCCGGACCCCTGTTAGACCGCATCGGCCGATTCCCAGGCATGGCTCACTTCATGTTCCGGCTGACGGGGAAGGGGCCGGCTGCTCACAGCTGGCAGCCCTGAGCAGCCAGCTGGAATGTGGCCGCAGCCTCTAGCCGTAAGCGAAGCTGTGCTCGTGCACGGACTGAGAGCACGTGAGCTGACTGGAGCAGCATGACTCTGGTCGTGCAGCGCCGCTGGCGCCCGAGCCACCAGACTGCGGCGCCGGCGCGCGGCAGCACGTGCTGCTGCGGTGGGAGGGGTCCAGCGGTGTCACGTGTGGCTGGTATGCCCTAGGGACCAGATGGGCCACGAGATTGTGAGCACGGGCGCAGCCGGCCGGCGACCAAGGCCGCTGCGCTCAAACACGGCTGTCAAATGTCAGCAAGTAAATGTCAGCGGCGCCCCCCCCCCCCCCCCGCAAGCTGTTGATCCGCAACGCTTCGGTGAACTAGAGGCTAGTCTGCGCCCGCTCCGGGATGCTCGCCGCCGCCTGATGACCGCCCCTGCCGCCGCCGGCGCGGTGCCGTGATGACGGGCGGGGTGGCGCCCCGGGGTGCTCGCCGCCGCCTGATAGCCGCCCCTGCCGCCGCCGACGCGGTGCCGTGATGACGGGCGGGGTGGCGCTCCGGGATGCTCGCCGCCGCCTGATGACCGCCCCTGCCGCCGCCGGCGCGGTGCCGTGATGACGGGCGGGGTGGCGCTCCGGGATGCTCGCCGCCGCCTGATGGCCGCCCCTGCCGCCGCCGACGCGGTGCCGTGATGGCCGGCGGGGTGGCGCTCCGGTCTGTGCCCGCTCCGGGGTGCTCGCCGCCGCATGATAGCCGCCCCTGTCGCCGCCGGCGCGGTGCCGTGATGACGGGCGGATTGGCGTTGTGGGGTGCTCGCCGCCGCCTGATGGCCGCCCCTGTCGCCGCCGACGCGGTGCCGTGATGACGGGCGGGGTGGCGCTCCAGACGCCGCCGTTGCTCGGCGCGGGGGCTTTTCACGGCTGGCGTCTGGCGCCCGTAGTCTCCATCGATTCCCACCAGACTTGTATTTCGATTCTGCTGGGGTGGGGTCTATTCATAACCCAAACTGAAGTGGATTGGGCTGCATCCGAATAAAATTCAAACGACAGTTGAATAGTATGGTTGGATCCAAAGCTGATTCCGAATCTGGAACAAACTTTTATTATGAATAAATCTGTTTGCAAGAAAATATACCACTATGATGCATGTTTATGTTACAGGACGGTGTGTTTGATCTCATAGTTTTTCAATTGACTGTAATTAACTTAGCAATACAGAGCTTAGTATCATGCATGCGCCTGCATCAGGGAACAGGAACATGATGATAATGCCTACTTATGCTCAACAAGAACCGTCTTTAATTGATTCCGAATCCAAATCAGCTGAATACCCAGTGAGGTCCAACCCCAGTGCGATTCCAGCTAAAACGGAATCAACTCTGGAGGCGAATTCACCCTCGCTGTGGTCGAGGTCATGTCAGATCGCCGTCCGGTCCCCACCGCCTGAAGCGGACGCGTTTTGCCGACCTGTCCGGCGACCCACAGCGTCAGGCGCCGGGCGTCGAGCCCCGCTGTCACCGGACCCGTGTTCCGCAGACGCTGAAGCGGAAGGAGCGCGAGTGTGAGCACGAGATGGAGCGCCTGGCGCGCGAGAAGATCGCTAACCAGCAGCGGCTGGCGCAGCTGAAGCGCGACCTCAGCGCCAAGTGGGACCACATCGACTTCAGCACCCTGCTGCCGGACGGCGCCGCCGCCAACGACGACTCCAACTCGACGCTGTCGGCCTCCGGTGAGCCGGCCGCCGCCGAGCCCGTGGTGCCGCTGTTGTGACGGTTGACGCGTGGGCGGTCAACGTTTGGTGTGTGCTGGCGGCACACCGCTACCGCCAGTTGATGCTTTGTTAACAGTTTTGAAGAACGCATCGATCTTTTGTGTTCGCTGACCTCGCGCTACCAACAAGAACAGTGGCAGTGGGTGTACAGGCCTTGCTACCTCAGGTATTGGACTCCTCGGTTCCGGTTGGTGGGCACTTGCCTAACCACGCCGTCGAGGCGTCCTGAATCTGGAAATCGTCACCACCTCCACGGCGTGCAGTAACGAACGAGTCTGAGTACTGGCGGTGACGGAACCCCCGCCCACCCCGTGACGCCGGCCCGTCCCCTCCCCCTCAGAGCGGCTGGACGGCGACTCGTACCAGGAGAGCCCGGAGCGCGAGGAGGTGGGCGGCGCGGCGTCGCCGGAGCCACGGCGGCGCGCGGCCGAGCGACCGGCTGCCGCCAGCCCAGCCTACCTCACCGGCCACTCGTCCGGCTACTCGTCCAGCTCGCCGACGGTGGCGGCGGCGCCGGCCGGCGAGCCGCGACCCGGCCAGCCGGCCGGCCTGGCGCGCCTTGCCGCCATGGCCTCCAGCCAGCAGAAGCTGCTCGTCACCACCGGCCACAAGGTGTCGGTGGTGCACGCGGCCGGCGGCGCCGCCGCCGCCAGCGCCGCCGACACGCCCCTGCTGCACGCCGAGCACGGTCAGTCGCCGGCGACGGGCACGTCCGGTGACCGCGCGGGGCTCCAGGCTTCGGACGCGTGTTTGTATGTCGTGGTAAGGGAGTCGCCGTGCTCGAGTTGGCCAATGCACGGGTTGGCTGCGGTTTGGAATTGTAATGCTTGATGGCATTTGCCCGATGCCGCTCCGGTTCACTCACGAGGAGTTCGCCTCGCTTGACCCTGTGTTAAGTTGTAAGCGCGCTCGGGGTGTCTGCCATGTCGTGCGTCGGAATGCCTTGCGTTGCGAAACATGCGGCACCACATAAACTGTCATTGTGTTTTTGAGCATCGTGAACTCGCCGTGCCGGTATGGGTAATCGTCGACCGAGTGCCAGCGTTTTTGGCAAGCAGTCGGCCTGTTTTTGATCTGGGAACGACATTTGTGTCAGACCATAATGGCAGGCCTTTTGCGGCCTGTCATAGGAATACGTGCCAGTGGAGGCGTGCCTGTGCGCTTTAGTACGGATACACGTTGTCACTGGCGGCCGTCTGCATGTGTTGACTTGATGTGAGTCCGTGTCTGCGTTTTGGCTGTGTCCTTATCAATGTCTGTATCTGTGTATGTGTGTCTATGCCTGTGTCTGTGTGCGGATGGGCCGGCTGCAGGCGCCGCCGATAGTGCGTCTCTCGTGCGCGGTGAGCGAGCGCCAGCCGGCGCGCTCTCACGCCTGGTTGCCCTCTGTCGGCCAGGGGTGTACGTGCCGGTGACGGCGCTGCCGGAGGCGGGCCGCGCGGCGCCCACCATCTCGTACGTGGAGCAGCCCCTGGACGCCTCCCGGAAGGCGCTCGTGCTGGAGACGGTACCGGGACACATCGCCAACGTGCAGGTGAGCGGCCGCGGCCGTCGGCTGGCGGCTGCTGGAATGTCTGCCGCTCGCGGGTGCCAGGCTGCTGGAATGTCTGTCGCTCGCGGGTGCCAGGCTGCTGGAATGTCTGCCGTTCGCCGCTGCCAGGCTGCTGGAATGTCTGCCGCTCACGGGTGCCAGGCTGCTGGAATGTCTGCCGCTCGCCGGTGCCAGGCCGCTGGAATGTCTGCCGCTCACGGATGCCAGGCTGCTGGAATGTCTGCCGCTCGCCGGTGCCGGGCTGCTGGAATGTCTGTCGCTCACGGGTGCCAGGCTACTGGAATGTCTGCCGCTTGCGGGTGCCAGGCTGCTGGAATGTCTGCCGCTCGCGGGTGCCGGGCTGCTGGAATGTCTGCCGCTCGCCGGTGCCGGGCTGCTGGAATGTCTGCCGCTCACGGGTGCCAGGCTACTGGAATGTCTGCCGCTCGCCGGTGCCGGGCTGCTGGAATGTCTGTCGCTCACGGGTGCCAGGCTACTGGAATGTCTGCCGCTCACGGGTGCCAGGCTGCTGGAATGTCTGCCGCTCGCGGGTGCCGGGCTGCTGGAATGTCTGCCGCTCGCCGGTGCCGGGCTGCTGGAATGTCTGCCGCTCACGGACGCCAGGCTGCTGGAATGTCTGCCGCTCGCGGGTGCCAGGCTGCTGGAATGTCTGCCGCTCGCGGGTGCCGGGCTGCTGGAATGTCTGCCGCTCACGGGTGCCAGGCTACTGGAATGTCTGCCGCTCACGGGCGCCAGGCTGCTGGAATGTCTGCCGCTCGCGGGTGCCAGGCTGCTGGAATGTCTGCCGCTCACGGGCGCCAGGCTGCTGGAATGTCTGCCGCTCACGGGCGCCAGGCTGCTGGAATGTCTGCCGCTCGCCGGTGCCGGGCTGCTGGAATGTCTGCCGCTCACGGGCGCCAGGCTGCTGGAATGTCTGCCGCTCGCGGGTGCCAGGCTGCTGGAATGTCTGCCGCTCGCCGGTGCCGGGTTCTCGGTCCATCCGAGCCGTCGAAACCGACTGACCTGTCTGAGCGGGCGCCTCAGCCTGCTTTGTTGGCATGTAGAAGTGCCCGAACCGTGTGCCGTTTGTGTCGTCGAGGCCGGTGGGCTGCGTCATCTGTCCAAGCCGGGGGACACCGCTGGACCGGCTAGAGCTGTGGGACCATTGGGGGGGGGGGGGATGGGGCGCTGCGGGGTGGGGTGCAGTCTGCGGGTGTATCGCTCTGCGCTTGGACCTGCGAACGTCGCTGGCGAGATGCATGGGGTCAGATCGATGTGTTGTATGCGAGGCGCTCTGGCGGCGCCGGTGCTGCGCCCTGGCCTGACGCGGAGGACGTGTGCGCAGCTGATGCAGTCGTCCGGCGGCGGGGTGCGGCTGAGCGGCGCCGGCGTGCTGGCGCCGCCTGCGCTGCAGGTGCTCACGCCGGCCGGCGTCCGGCTGCTGTCGGCGCCCGGCCCCGGCCACGGCTCGACCGGCGCAGGTACGGCCCGGCCCGGCGCTGCACGGGCGGGACGCGCGTCAGACGCGGGGTGGCCTCCCGACGCAGGGCTGTCGGAGCTGTCGACGCGGAGGCTCTACAGCTCCGACGCAGACACCGGAGCTCTCCCGGCATTCACTGCACAGCTCCGACGCAGACACCGGAGGTCTCCCGACATTCACTACGCAGCTCCGAAAGACACCGGAGTTCTCCCGGCATTCATTGCACAGCTCCGACAGACACCGGAGGTCTCCCGACATTCACTCATAGATCCGACACAGACACCGCAGGTCTCCCGGCATTCACTGCACAGCTCCGACAGACACCGGAGCTCTCACGGCATTCATCGCACAGCTCCGACGCAGACACCGGAAGTCTCCCGGTATTCGCTCATAGCTCCGACAAACACCGGAGGTCTCCCGGCATTCATTGCACAGCTCCGACTCAGACACCGGAGTTCTCTCGGCATTCATTGCACAGCTCCGACAGACACCGGAGGTCTCCCGACATTCACTCATAGCTCCGACACAGACACCGCAGGTATCCCGGCATTCACTGCACAGCTCCGACACAGACATCGGAGGTCTTCCAGCATTCACTCATAGCTCCGACACAGACACCGCAGGTCTCCCGGCATTCACTGCGCAGCTCCGACACAGACATCGGAGGTCTTCCGGCATTCACTGCACAGCTCCGACACAGATACCGCAGGTCTCCCGGCATTCACTGCATAGCTCCAACACAGCCACCCGGGGTGGGAATTTCGATTGGAGATTCAGGTTTGGAGTGCTTTTTCTTAACCAGGTCGGAGGTAAAGTTTTTGTCAGCTTGCATATACGTGGTCGTGTAAAAAGAAAGCTATGTGTGTAGCATTGGTATATCTTGGCAAAATTGACCGCCTAGCTTTCTCTATGTTAAGTTTATTAACAACTACATTAACTAGTTTCGATTATGATAAGTTGGGTCATGTTCATGCTTTCCATGTAGATGTCTTGACTACACTCATTTCAGCTAGCTTTCAATACAATGTATATGTCACAATCATAAAAACTGCTAACTCTTCTTCCCATCTCATTTTCTCAAGAGTGCTCCGTAATTTGTATGCTCTTAATTTGCCTGGTTACAGCTTGGAGCCTTAAAGAGATCATCCTTTTGGCCTGCATTTTGCCTAAACAGTATATCCTAAGCTTTTGTCTCCTTCCCAAAACCTTCAGCAAAGCAATGGGTACAATGACAGGTCGTAGGTCATCGCTCCAACCAATTTTATGAAACTGCATCCCTTTGGCGGAGGCTTAATGATGATGACACGCGCCAGCTTCACCACCACCTTTCTTCAGCGTCCAGTCCACAGCACAGCTCCTAAGCAGAAATCGTCTGCGTCAAAAGACAGGTGGATCAAAATCACTGTAAGGCAATAGAAAGTTTACACCAGTCACTTGGAGGCACCACAGGTTTCGAAGGTGTGAACCGTGTTGAAGACGGATTCCAAGCCGGAGCTTGCTTTCACACAGCATCACGCAAATGAGATGCCGAATTAAAATAAAAAAAATGGAACGTACAAACCCGCAATGTCGAATTGCCATTATTTTAAATTTTTAGTACGTAAATGAGCATACTGCATTTTTTAAGAAAAAAACAACAACTCCGTAGCACAATACGCAACGTATGGGGACGCCCCAGACACTCTGGCGTTTGGGTTAGACAGCGGCTTTTGTTTATGCGAGTCACGTGGGTAGCGAAGACTGGGCCGTACCGGCGTGATTCATCGGCAGGGTTTGCCGTCCCGCGCCATACGGGTCACGTGGGTAGCGAAGACTGGGTCGTACCGGCGTGATTCATCGGCAGGGTTTGCCGTCCCACGCCAGACGGGTCACGTGGGTAGCGGAGACTGGGTCGTGCCGGGGTAATTTGTCGGCAAGGTTTGCCGTCCCGCGCCAGGTGGGTCATGTGGGTGGCGAAGACTGGGTCGTGCCGGCGTGATTTACCGTCAGTGTTTGCCGTCCCGCGGCAGAAAAAAGAACAGTTTCTCAGTTGCTATGATCACTTCGCGTGGCATTCGCAGTGAAGATGATCGTCACAACCACCGGTGACGACCGAGAGCACTGGCCAACGTGTCATGGTTATGTTAATAATTGTCATAGTTCAGAACAGATTGTGTCTGTTGATTGATAACAGATCGCGCTTTTTTCTCCTTCGAATCCAGTGCTCACCGTGCGCGCTACTGTATGTTTTTTTTTAATTGGGCACATGCGATCTATAATATTTTGAATAATACTAATGCGTTAATTTTCATGCATTACTGCCCCCCCCCCCCTTCACAAACCATTAACAAAGCAGTCACAGTTGGAATTAAATTCCACGTCGTGGACATGCAGATTGTCTCTTCCCGTATTCGGGGACATGTGAAGGGAACGACGTACAGTATAGAGCATGCTTATTTCATTTTCAGTATGGGATGTGGGTTGTGTGCGCAGTTCCTACAAAGTGGGCCAATACAGATATCTACTGGCGTTCTGATCCATTTTACTGGCTTCAGTAGCGGGCATTTCAGCGACGGCTGTGCCATTTGTGAGCATATTTTTCCGAAGCGGCCTGTATTCCAGTAGTTGGGAAGTTGTGACCATGCTTACGCTACAACGACGTTGAAAGCCCGCGTTTCCGGCCGGTATGACGTCTGTAACTTGTGTCGCCACGGCGATAACGTCATTATCACGCATCCGTTCGTCACCGAACTCTTGGCTTGCGTGTGCGCCGGTGACGTCACTGTGCGATGTTTTCAGCAGTGATGACGAGTTCGATGAGCGGCGGCCAGCGGACGGTGCTGACGCTGCCGGCCCGCACCACCCTGGCCCAGCCACGGCCCATCCACCCAGGAGGTAAGCCGGCCGACCCGCGGCCGCCGGTGACCAGTCACCACCGGTGCCAGATCCCGGGACGGGCGCGGCCATCTGCGCCGAAGTCGGTCCCGTGCAATCAGGGCGGGGAGGGGGATGTTTCGCCCGGCGGCGTCTTCTTTTGGCCCACAATCGTGCTCGCCCGGCTCTTGTAGCGACCACGGGGCTGCGTAAGCTCACGGAGCCAGTTGTGTGGGGTAAAACGGTACGTGCGTGCGTGCTGGCTGCTGTCTCGGGCTGGGGGCCGGTTTGGGAGGCGGCCGTCTGCGCCGGTCAATCCGGGCGCTCAGGCCGGCACTCGGCCGGCCTGAGCGTGTTGCCCCCGGGGCGCCGGCGATCGTGTTGTGACCCGTCTCTGCGGCCGGCAGTCTCGGGCGTGACCCACCTGGTGAGCTCGTCGCTTCCGCGGCTGGTGACCCAGTCAGTAACGCACCTGGTGGCGCCCGCCAGCCAGGCCACCATGACCGTCCTCGGACAGCCCAAGGTCAGCGTCTGACCTTAACACCCGCCCAGAGCCTCCCGCCGCTGATGATGGGTTGTCGCATGTGGCTTGGCCGCTCGCCAAAGGTCAGTCAATTGACTGGTGGGGCGCGAGAGTAGTTATCGGTGAGGTGCCGTAACGTTTCTGATTTTGCATCATGCGCTTGACTCGTCAGTGCGAATGGGACCTATGCGATGCAGCTGTAGCATTACGTGCCGCGCGATGCCTGACGGGTGACCGCTGTGTCCGCCCTCCCTGACACGTCGGCCTGTCTTCAGATGAAGCCCGGACAGGTGCAGATGAAGCAGCTGCCCATGATCACGCCGTACATCAGTAGTGCGTCGCAGTCACCGCTCGGCAAGTCGATGGTGGTGGTGACAGCAGCCGGCCTCGTGCCCGTCTCCAAACACTAGGTCTCCATGCCGATCGAGGGCCGAGCTGGCCACGCGCCTGGCGGTCAGAAGTAGAGTCCACGTCCGCCACTGTCGGCGGCGCCGCCCTGGCGGTCAGAAGTAGAGTCCACGTCCGCCACTGTCGGCGGCGCCGCCCTGGCGGTCGGAAATAGAGCTCACGCCCGTGGTGGGCGCCGCTAGATGGTAGCGCGGCGGCGCGCCGAGTGGCGTCGGTGTCTGATGTAGCTGAGTTTGTGGGCGAGCGTGCCGTCCAAGCTGAAGCTGCACCGGCCAGTGTTGGATTCTCTTCAGTAGACCAGAAGGTATGGGCCCTCCAAAAGAAGCCTAGTGAGGTGGGGGTTCTCTGGAGGATCCGTCAGTGGATCCGTTGACTCTGTAGCGGACATTTTGGGGGTGTGCGCTCGCCGGCCGAGCTGACGGTGATGGATCTGCTAACTCGCGGGCCCCTAGCTGCGGTGGGACCGCCTATGGCTGGTCCGCCGGTGTGGGACCCTCCCCGTAGGACGACATCACCTGTAGTTTGACAGTCGCCGGCTGGTGAGGCTGCTGCTCGGCCGTCAACTGGGGATTGCGTTCGGCCGAGGCAAGTCTTCCTTTCATGATTTTGTACAAAATGTATTGTTACCATGGAATTAAAGATGTATGATCTCGTTGGATCGGTATTGGCCCGTTTCTTTGCCGTCAACCCTCACCTGGTATTTCAAGCCGTACTCAACATATCTGGAGAAATTATGAACCGAGTGTAATGGCACCCAAATCTACGTACGCTTACAGATACGACACAATTTGGTGTCACCCCTATGGCGTTACGTTAAACACAATGAATAAGAGGCATACTTTGTCCTGTTCAGGCTGGCTTCGACTTCCTTGCTTGTGGGCACACTACGTGGATAGCCTTTGGCCAGTTCCTAGTCTTTTGCGGGCGTCTCCAACTGGATTTACCTCGATGCAGGCTAAGCTGCGTCACCTATTACGGCATTTAGCAGTGCGTAATGGTGCTCACCTGTCGTGATCGCTAATACATCAACGTTGTACGTCCGAACGTATCGGGCGCCCACATGACTGGAAAGACGGCTGTCATGTTTTGCTGTCCCGGCGGACGTCTGCGTTCTTTCAATGCTGCTGACTCGACTGGGCCTCGGATTCTGATCAGCGCCCTCCTCTGTCGTCAACTGCCTGACTCCGTCCAAGACTCTCTAAATCCCAACAAGCACGCTTTCGAATTTGCTTCCTTCGTTTCCAAGCGGTCCAATCCTCTAACAGCCCATGTTCTGAAGGAGATTTAAGGAAACCGAAAGGCGGCCCGGCCAAGGAGTTCAGCGAACCCCGTAATCGCAAAATCCGTAGTCATTCACAGTAGTTATTCAGGTGGAGTGCGGCTCGGCCGAGCGCGGGCTGGGAGTGGGTGCGCCGAACGGGCGGTCGGTGGGCGATGCTTCCCCCGACAACGGCCCGCTCGCGAGTCGGCGGCGCTGGCCGCGTCATGTCACGCCTAGTACAATGGCCCTGCCTCTGCGAGCGCCGGGCATGGGGCGCCGCCGGGGCGCGGGCCGACGTGGGTGGGTGGGGGCTCTGTCCAGGCCCCGCCGTGCTCTTGTTTTCAGCGTCTGTGATGAATCTGGCGTGACTAGGCTGCTCGTTTCTGATGCGTTGCCGTTTGTCTGATGTTGCGCGGAGGCAGCTTGTCTGCAGCGGCCGCCGGCGACCGGGCCGCCTCCCCCGGGCTCGTGTTGGAGTGTCTGGTTTTACCTGATCCTGTCCGCCGGCCTCCGGTGTGGGGGCCGGCCCTCCGGCCGACGCCCCAGCGGCGTCGGCGTGTTGCCGTTCGGTTCGGGTTGCGGTGCTCTGTGATATCGGGATGCGTATGCAGTGGCGGTAGGGTATGCAAGGCGCCCGCTGTTTCCTCGGTGTGGTTGTTTTGGTTTGTGGTCTCCCCGCCCGCGCCGGGCGCTCCGGTTTCGCTTCTGTTTTGTTCGTTTTATTGAACCTGTCTCGAAGTGTGCTGGCGAGACTGGCTGGCCGGCACGCGTGGTCCGGTCACCTGCATGTGAGGAGGCGATCGGCCGCCATTGATTGGCCCTAGACGCGCTGTCGGTGAAGAGGCGTGGCGTCGGCGCGGCCCCAGGGCTGGCGCCCCTCTGCAATAACCACTAACAGGCCCGGACACTGGGCGTCCCACCGCCTGCCTGGGCGACCTTCGCCGCTGGGCGCACGCCCTCTTTCCTTGTTAGGCATGAATTGTATATGATGAATATCTAATGCTGTTCAGTATATTGTTGACCGTGTACCCTCATTGAAATACATGTCCATGATGATATCTGGTTTGCACCTGTTGATGAATCGTATTGCTTTTCAAGCAAGACAGAACGAAGGGACGCAGCACGTCCGACGGGTTAATACACAATGGAGCACGGCTGTGGTACTGCTGGTGAACTGTCCCATAGTGTCGGATCCGTTCGTGGCCATTGGGGGATCAAAGTATCCCGCGTAGACATGCAAGCCAAAGGCCTTCTGTCAAAGCTGAGCACGCCGTGTTTTTGCAGCCGCGTGTAGAGACCGATGACTGCAAAATTAGGCCAAGAGTGGCTGAGATGCCTCCCTCATGTATGCGCCTGGCTCCCAGTGTTGGTTCCTGGTGTCCACAGACTGTTCTGTGTAAAACGGGACCTTGTATATTGAGCGCCAAACCCTGGTTCTGGCTTTCACTGGTCCTTTTGCAAACACCCCACCCTGCGTCCCGATTCCCACAAGCCCTTTTACGTATGCTAGAACTTGGTTTATGGTTCCCATTAGTACTTTGCAAAACGCCAGAACCCTTCTCGGCTCCGAGTGGTTCACAGAGCACCAGGTCATGGTTTCTGATTTTCATTAGCTCAAGTCCAATGAGTTAGCATTAGCTTAGGTTAGTATTTGTCGCTTATCGCTACCGATGGGCAGAAATATCACCAGCCTTGGTTCTTGCGGACCTCCGGTGGTTGTTTTCCAAATTGGCCCCCAAGTTATTCCCGGTCTCTGGACCAGGAACGGGTTACCGTGGATACATATTTGATACCACGCAATTGCCTGTTGCGCCGAATGCCTCCACGCTTGAAAATGATCATGGCGAGAAGAGGACACCACATCATTTTCACCTTATCTGATCGAATGTTACACCCTTAGCCGAAGGTGAAGTTTTGTGGCGGTCAGGTTTTTACATAATGGTTTGGCTGCATGGACGGCAGTAAAGTAGTGTCGTCAGCGACCGGGTCAATGGCGATCCTGCGGCAAAAGTTTGGTATCCCATCGCGGCCCTAGACTTGGTCCAGGATAACGCGTAGGGGTAAGGAGGCTGGTAAAAGGCGTGTGTGGAGGCTGGAGAGGAGGTAAAGAATTGAGCAGGTTAGGGTGTATCAGTGTGTCTTGGTGGGCATAGCCGGCTTTTTTGTACAGGGAATATAATGTGAATAATAAATATCAAGGCTTAGCTGTTAAAGGATGCCATCGTTGGCATCCTTTCCAAGCCTGGATGTTAACCACATGTTATGCCGAACATCTCCAGTTAATCAAGGATAACGCGGCAATAATTGCAGCGCAGTGTACAGCATAAGTCTGAGTGTCATAAAAGTAGGCATGTCACTACTGATAGCAGTGTATATAGGGCCAATGTTCAAGAAATTATGAGAGCATGAAGTGGAATGCTGTATTTTGTAATTTAATGATGAATTTTCAGCTAAAAATAATGTAAAAATCACAAAATTGGTTTTAAATGCAACTCAGTTTTGCCTTGCTTGAGTGTGGTGCACATCACCACAAGGTTCAGCACATCAATGTGTCATGTATCTGGTGCAGTAGATTATTGTTTTGCAGACTGGCTGCCAGGTACATGTATATCCTGCTTATGTCACTTGGTGATTATTCAAAGTTGATCTGCACTCTTTATCAATCATAGGCCCAAATTTTTCTCCACTTGAAATACTCAAAGTTGATCTGCACTTCTTATGAATCACAGGCTTTAAGTTTTCTCCACTTGAAATCATTTATCTTTGACCTCATCCTGGATCAGTTGGACACAATATGAGGAATTTTGCTGACCTACATCACCAGTGAGAAGAATATCCTCTTCTTTTAGGTTTACTCATCAGACTGGTCAAGTTCAGATAGGCAATTGATAGCCCTGGGCAATGGTTACAACTAGGAATTGTGAATAAGACAACACTGAAATGGTTTGTATTGAACATGCCACAAAATGTTTTGAAAATCATGAAAAGATATGAAGGGCTATAGGGCACACTGGTGCCTGCAGCAATGCCAATATGTTACAGTTTGTTAGTTATCTTAGTAGTGACTGCTTAATGGTTAGCCTCTAATAACTAAATAAATAATAGCAATACTTGTATACTAAATGATTCTTTCAAGCTAGCAGCCAAAAATCACATGTATTTGTGTCAGTGCTTGTGCTAGGTACCTTACACACATTCCTAGTGCCAGACTCTAATTTGTGACATATCCTTGAGAGAAGCAGGTAATGAGTTTAAAAAGAGGGGTACATACACCTGGGCATCATGCAATGCACTTTGTGGAGGTAAAAACTAGTTCAGGCTTTAAACTTTATTTCTGACTTTTCAAGGCAGCATTTCACATTTGTGTGAGGTTTTGAACTGAAGTAGTGATCTTGAAGATCATTTGGCATGATTCACAGCCCTGCTCCTTGAAAGGTCTAAACCCCTCTAGTTTGTTACCTACACACCCACAAACATATGTGATGTGCAGAAAAGACCAATTTGTGCAGACTATTTAAAGGTCACCCAGGCATCTATGACACCATAATAATGCTATTGATGTTTGTGAGCAAGATTTTGAGATACAACAGATGTCAACTGGCTCTCTATCAGTACTGTCTAAGGTACCATTACAAGTGTTGTGTAGAGCTGTCTTTTTCACTTAGAAGTACACCAATAATTATAAGTGAGCTCATTTCATCACATCTCATGCTTTCCAATTGTTCATGGTCAAGCAGTCAAGTTTTCTCGTTTTGTACGCACATTTCAAGATGCACACATAAGCAACAGTATTCATGACATTAACGTGCTCGGGGGTCAAATTCACCTCCCAAAGGTTTTTTAAAATGGTTTCCGAACGGCGCGGCGTAGCCGCGACAAATTTTGCATAGCTGTAGACAATTTAATAGCGGATCGTTTGACACCAAAAACTTACATGTACCTTGTAAGGTCGCTGACCTATGACAGGTCAAAGTCAGGCCATGGTTTCAGGGGAGGCAATTTCTAGGGAATCCTTCAATCTGATCCAACGACGGAGTGTTAGAGGAAGCCATACATCTCTGAGATGCTTTCTTAGGCAACACACCAGTGGAATGAGCAGATTGCATTGACCTGAGGTCAGGTATGAAGTTCACACCAAGGTCAAAACCAACCTGTTTTGTTACTCTAGGGCTTGCTGTATGGGATGGTTTCTGGTGCTCATTTCGAATTTACTAATAGCAGGAACCACATTATGCATCTTCCATGGACTTCTTGGAGGTCAGAATAGGTCATTGACCTAAAATGACCCAGGCCAACATGTTGTTTCAGAAGCATACTACCTAGTGTAATCTTTGTTGTTTAGTCAAATGCAAAACTCAAAGCAATATTGTATTATTTTGGTCACCTTGACCTTCAAAAGGTCAATCAATGTCACTGAACGTGAATGAGCAAGTGACCTTTTGCTTAGAAATGGTTATCTAGGTTCTGGGGGCACTTTGGAAGACCAGCCCGGAACTTGACCTTGTTTGACCTTATTTGACCCGAAGGTCATGACCTAGGAACTTGAAACTGTGACTTAAGTGAGTTCACGTACAGGTCAACACGCCCTGTAAATTTGGTGTCTCTAGCTTTCTTAGTTCCCAAGATCTCAGGGGGTCGAATTGACCCCCTACCCGAGCGAAGGGTATCTAGCCGGCCACCCGGACGTGTGTTAAGAGAAGTATGACATGTGGGAATGGAAGGGTGAAAGTGTGATAAAATAAAGATTGTTTTGGGAGATAAATGGAAAAGAGTCAGTGACACCTTCTCCCAATGTTTCCCAAAATGCAGTCCATATCAGGTCATATCATATATGGTCTGTTTTGCTGCCACAGCTCATATGATCTATAGAAGTCACTGGCTTGGGAATAAGTCAGTTACAGGAGCAAAGTATGAGTGGGGTGGCAGGTTGAGCACAAGGGTACAAACATCATGTCAACAGGAGGCCTCATTGACTGGGACAGATCATTTCAGCAGATTTAAGGAAGAGCCCTCAACATGTGCCCAGGGGGAGAGTGTCAGTTGGCCCCACCCAAAGGTTTTTACATAATAATTTCTGTACAGCTTGTGTATAGCCATGCCAAACTTGGCATGACTATAGGCAATTGAGTAGCCTGATTGTTCAGTATGCAAAATCAAATCTACTTTGTAGAGCTGCCAGCCTATGGCCAGCAAAAGTAAGGATACAACTATTAGGGAAGGCATCATCCCAGGAATCATTCAATCCAATTTGACAACAGAGTGTTAGACAAAGCTGTGGATGTCAAGGATAGTTTTTTAGGTGATAAAATAATGAATTTATGGTTCAAACAGTTTGACCTAGGGTCAGATCAGAGGACAAAAGCAACCTTTGTTGCTGCATAGATTGTTTTATGGGGTAGTTGCTGGTGCTCTTTTCAGATTTTTTGATAATGTAAAGCAACAGCTGGAAAATATTTGATATTTAGAATATACTGGTAGTTTAATGCAATTTTAATTGATGAATGACATGGACCACAGCAGACATCTTTTATGGAGGTTTTAAGGCCATTGTAGGTCATTGAACTAAAATGACCATGGCGTTTTGCTTTTATCAATATGCTGTGCGATGTGATCCCTTAATGCTTTTTGTTTACTGGCGAATCAAACCTTCGCGAAGCAATCGGCACCACGATCCTGGGTTGCAATCTGGATGTCAAAGCTAAACAGCAGCCTGATCCTGGGGTGAATCGATGGCTCAGGGGGTAGCAGTGGCCGGAGGCTGTGGGCGACAGTGCAGCGTACGTGGCTCATCACTGGCACAACTGATGGATTGCTGGAGATTGTGATGTCACACTCCAGCTTCCGTGACGTCAGATCCGCTGACAGCACGCATCCGGCTAGCGTGGGCGGTCGGAGAAGTTCGCCTGGGGCATAGCAGCTGATGACCTTCAAAGGTTGCCGCGGTGCCGGCCGGGAGCCGTGACTGTGTTTCGGGCGCACACTTCCGGGCTTGCCCCGCGGCCGCGATGCGGGAGTGGGTCGCACGCTCCGCAGTCGCTCACTGCAGCGCACCTGTTAACGCTCAGCGGGCTCGTGACCACGCGGGCAGTCGGCCGGCCGCTGGACTGACGTCACTGGTCTAGGTGGCGTCGCGCGGGGACCGACACACCCGCCCCAGACGTAGTGCACCACCAGTCTGCAGGCTCGGAGCGCTACAGCATCGCACTGCAGGATCTGCACGACGTCAGACTGATGGGCCTGAGCACCGCCTTCGTCTGGTCTTGTGCAACCAAGCTTGTGATGTGGGTCGCGTCTTTCCGTGCATTCCTTGCCTCTTTAGAATTACCGTGTATGGCGTGTCTCTGTTTTGCATGTAAAGAGATGTGTTTAAACTGATAATATTTCCAGGCATTTTGATGCAGTCTCGGTAAGCACCAGTCACAATGGCAGGTGAAGACCAAGAGGAGTTTGCTTCCGAACAGGATGACAACTACTATGCCTTCCTCAACATCCCGCGAGACGTAAGTCACCTGACGCGAACATTCCGGACCGTTCCTGTCACTCACACTGCACATATCTGGACGTGCTGTCGGAGCCAAGTTTTCACCAGCTGTGCTTAGTGGATCTCTGCTGCGGACTTGACCACCCTGTGCTGCGGGCCTGACCACCCTGTGCTGCGCTGCAGGCGTCACAGGACGACGTGAGTGGGGCGTACCGGCGCCTCAGCCGGCTTTACCACCCGGACAAGCACAGCGACCCCGACAAGAAGAAGGAGGCGGAAGTGCTGTTCAACAAGACCAAGATCGCGTACGAAGGTGTGCTCTGCGCCGCTCTGCGGCGTCTCTCCGCCTAAATGTGTAGGCCTTTGTTCCCGCATGTGGTGGTCGGGAGGCAAGCAGGCCGTTTGGTGTGTCACCTGTCACGGACACCTGTAAATGCCTGCTCGTCCTGAATCTGTGTCTCGTCGCGTCGGCTGCGGCGGTGCGTGCTCTGTGTGACGGCGGCCTGTTCTTGCTCTGTGTGACGGCGTGTGCCGTTTGGTGCACGAGCGGCGCTTCTGACCGCGCCCGACCGCTGCCGGGCAGTGCTGAGCGACCCGCACCGGCGCGCCATCTACGATAGCCTGGGCGTGCCCGGCCTGCGCACCGAGGGCTGGGAGGTGGTGCAGCGCACGCGCACGCCCCAGGAGATCCGCGAGGAGTACCAGCGGCTGGCCAGGTACGGTGCCGCCGGCCCGGCCCGCCCCCAGGGTCCGCGCGCACCGGCGTGGGAGGGGAAGGGGCGGCTGCGCGTGCCCGGTGACGAGCGCGCTCAGAGCGCGCTGTGCAGTCTGGGAGCACCCGGCGAGGACAGCGTTGGGAACGACGGTGGTCGGACCGCGTGAAGCGTCATTGTGTGTCTGACTGCGTCGTGTGTGGACCCACAACACAGAATGCATCGTGCAACTTTGAATTGCGGACGTGAATGGACTGAGCCTGTGTGACGACTGTATTCCGTTGGCTTACTTTGATTTGGGCCAGGGCAGTAGATACCGTTGAGAACGAAGTTCATTATAAGAACCTACAGTATTTCACCAGAAACACAGTAGATGTGGGATGTAGGCTAGATTTGTCGTTGGTGCTGAATAGGTAGCCAGTAACTGAAGGTAGCATGGTCCAGGTACCACAATAGTGAGTGTATTCAAAATTTTAATGAATGTTGTGCCCAGCTTTTTTGCAAGAAATCTCAAGATGTACACCACACAACGCTGGCAGCATGTATTGGCTGATGGCAAACAATTGGACATATTCTATGGACGATGGGCAGAAAGACTCAACAACACCCGGCTTCGAGCATACAGCGTTCCGGTTACCAATCCGCCACGCTACCGATAAGCTACTGAGACTACCGGACATATCGAGAAAGTCGGAAAATTCACGTCGTACCGTGCACGAAAACTTTGAACCGGCACGCCGTGGGTGTTTGGCGTCTCTAGACAAAAGATAGTCAAAGACTCGGACGCAAGACAAAAAAAAAGAAAAAAAGTATTTCGTTTGGTGCCGGATTTATTGAAACTGGCCTGATGCAATTTGACTCACAGCTCTGTGAAAAGCAGGTTTTTACCACGTGAACGCTATGGGCTGGTAGGAAAAATACGCCGTAAAGCGGCTGTGCTACCAACGCGCTTTGGTGGGGGCTGGGTTGGAGCGGCTAGGACGTGTGAGTGTATGGTGAATTTGAGATGACATTGCACGCGGGCGTGTGTACATCACACGGTGGGTTCACGGAATCTCTCCCCTTCGCTAGTGCCAGTTTGGGCCGTGCGGGTTGTCTCCAGTAGCGTGGTGTCGAGTGCGACACTGCCCCTGCGCGTGACTCGCTGCGATGCGCCCCAGGGAGCGGGAGGAGCGTCGCCTGCTGCAGCGCACAAACCCCAAGGGCTCCGTCACGCTCTTCATCAACGCCACCGACCTGTTCTGTTCCTACGACGACGACCTGGACGACGATGAGTTGTGAGTGGCGCAGGGCTGACGGTTCTCCTGCGGACCTGGCTCGCTTCCTGTCTGTGCCTACCGGTCCCTTCCGTGGGCGTTGTGCCTGCCAGCGACTGCAGGTCCAGAGCCTTACGTGGTTTGGATGGGCTTTAGGGCGAGTATTGAATCCGTCAGCTCTTGTGTAAAGGTTAACAGGCCACCCGAATTTGTGTCGGGTGTGTTATGTGAACACGGGACGCATACCATTGCGTTGGTGCTTTCCATGGCTTCGCTGTTTTCTCGTCGGCCTGTCTCATAGCATATTTGTTTGGCTGTCTGGTGGTGAGATTCAGCATGTCCGTGTCCCGGCACCGTTGTTGGTCTCACGCCCGTGCCTCACGCGTGAAGTGCCCTCCAGTGGATCCGGATCCCTCTTTCCTCTGATCGAAGTCGGCGGGATGTCGTTCAACCAGAGCATTGAAGCGCCCCTCACTGTCAAGGACACTGCTACTATGTCAGGTGAGCGTTGAATAGCTGGCACGGCTGGTGTGATCTGTATAGCGGTTTACCAGCGTATCTTGTGTAATTTTTTGATCTGCTTGTCACTTCTCCCATTTGCACACTCCCCGTATGTCCCTCTTTTCCTCCCTCCCTCTCCCCCTCGCCTCTCGTACCGTGTCCGCTCTGCCTCTCCGGACGCGCCGCCCTCCCAGCCGTGCGGAGCGGCGGCCGAGGACAGCCCTGCCGACGGGCGCGCTGACCACCGCTGCCGCCGCGCGCCGCCAGGTCAGCTCTCCACCTCGAACGGCACCGGGCAGGGCCAGGTCAGCTGCTCGGTGCGCCGGCTGCTGTCGGAGCGCAGCTGGGCTGAGGCCGAGGTGGGCGTCGGCAGCGGCCTGATGCTCTCGCTGCGCGGCTTCCGCTCCGTCGGCCGACACCTGCACGCCACCGGACACGGCTTCGTCTACATCCTGCCCAACGGGCTGGGCCGCGTCGGCCTCATGGGCAGTGAGTGCGGCTCGTCGCGCCGCCCGGCGCCGGCCGCCGCCAGCGGGGCAGGCTGCCGGGTGGCCGGTGTTGCTCTGGCGACGTCTGTGACGTGTTGAGTTGTCCGGCGCCGGCCGCCGCCAGCAGGGCAGGCTGCCGGGTGGCCGGTGTCGCTCTGGCGACGTCTGTGACGTGTTGAGTTGTCCGGTGCGGGGTGGCCGCCAGCTCGTTTGGCGTGGCGGGAGACCGCCTTCCCCGTTGAAATTGCCGTTAGCATTGAATTTGGCGTGATCTGCTTGCTTTGTAAAACAATCAGGCTATCAAAAATGATGCTCGTCTTGCCGTTGGCGCCGTTCGTTCTCCCCATCGCCGCGCATGTGACGCGTGCGTCACGCTGTGCGCGACTGGCGTGCTGTGTGTGGCTCGCCCGCTGTGTGCGGCTCGTCCGCTCTGACGCGTCGCGGCGCTGTCGCTGCGCGGCTGTCGTGCTGTGCGCGGATCGCTCTCTCTGACGCGCGACGCGCTGTGCGCCGCAGCGCTGGGATGCCAGCTGGACCGGCACACGGTCGGCTACCTGACGTACCGGGCCGGGGCGCCGTCCGGCGTGCAGACGATGCTGGTGCGCGAGACCGAGCACAGCCGGCTCTCCGCCAGCCTGTACGTGGGCCTGCCGCACAGCTACGTGACCGGCAGCCTGCTGCTCAAGATGCCCGAGGCCGACGTCAAGACCCGGCTGGTGGCCAAGTGAGTCGGCTGGGGCGGGGTGTGGCGGTGGTCTGACCCGGCTGGTGGCCAAGTGGGTCGGTTGGGGCGGGGTGCGGCGATGGCCTGACCCGGCTGGTGGCCAAGTGAGTCGGCTGGGGCGGGGTGCGGCGATGGCCCGACCCGGCTGGTGGCCAAGTGAGTCGGCTGGGGCGGGCTGCGGTGATGGCCTGACCCGGCTGGTGGCCAAGTGAGTCGGCTGGGGCGGGGTGCGGTGATGGTCTGACCCCGCTAGTGACCAAGTGAGCAGGCAGCTACAGGGACGGGGTGCGGTGATGGTCCGACCCGGCTGCTGGCCAAGTGAGCAGGCAGCTACAGGGACGGGGTGCGGTGATGATATGACCCGGCTAGTGACCAAGTGAGCAGGCGACTGCTGGGGCGGGCTGTGGCGATGGTGTGACACGGCGGTGCGGTGTTGCTGAAGGCTCGGGGTCCTGTGTGGTCACGCCAGGTGAAATGTCGGGGATAACGGACGACGCTCGGGTCTGCTATGTAAGGACTGGATGTCGTCACGGAGCGTAGGATGCTGCCGTATGATGTGTGCGTGGAACATCTGCTCTGGGCGGGCATGCTGGTACTGATATCGAGTGGGGCCGCTCGACCCTGCCGTTCCTCCATGCGGCGACACTGACTGACGTGCCTGCGCCAGGGGTGGCACCTTCGGCTTCTTGGTGGAGTACGGCGTGGAGAAGAAGATCTCAGGCCTGAGCACGCTCGGCGCCTTCGTCAGCGTCGGCATGCCCACAGGAGTGGCCGTCAAAATCAAGTGCGTATGATGGGGTCCGACTTACAGCCGCATTGGTAACGCTTCCTCCCCACCCGCTCGCTCGGCCGCGTCCTGTCACCACGTGAACGTGTAGTCATGCCGCGTAACACCGCTCAGTGTCTGACCGCCGGCACCACCCGAGCTCCCGCCCCCTCCCAGAGTCCGTCGCGTCCGGGCCTCAGTCGAGCGGCGCTGTTGTCAGTCGGGCGTCTCCCGTCCGCAGACTGAGCCGCTTCCAACCAGACGTACACGGCGCACGTGCGTCTGTCGGACGAACTGATGCTGAGCCCGGTGTTCTACGGCACGGTGGTGCCGCTGCTGGCCTGGGCTGCCGTCAGCCGCCTGCTGGTGGCGCCGTACGTGCGCGAGCGCCAGCGCGAGGAGGCGGAACGCCGGCGACAGGCCAACCGCGACAGGTCGGTCCCACCTAAGGACGGACGCGGCTGGGGACGTGGGTGCTAGCATGTGTCTGGGTGCTGTTGAAAGCGTTGCGATGGAATCTCGGGTGGAAAAGCGAAGTGAAGGACAGGTGGATGCATTAGACAATGCTAGGTGTTCGGGATGGCACGTGATCACGACCGCCGGAGGTAAGAGGGATCCGATGGGACTTGGAGTCGATCAGGCAGGCGGTGACATGAACTTAGAAGGATCGATACCCGACAGCGAACTGGGGTGGCGTAGGCGCTAGCGCTATGGACGCAGGGGAGGGGATCAGGCTAGACGAGTGCCCGAGGGCTCAGATGCGACCGCGGGGGTGTCGTCGGATTTCCATGAGCAGTATGAAAGGTTCCACTGTGCTGTTGGTTGGCAGTGCAATGTTCTCCGGTCGCCGAACACGCGCAGGCCGATGTGAAGCGCCGCGTGCCGTTGTGCGCCGGTGTGCCGGCGCCGGGTGACGCTGACGGCCGGCGGACGACGGCAGGACGGCGGCGCGGCGCCGGGAGGCCGAGTCGGCTGTCGGTCTGATGCGCGAGACGGTGGCACGCATCCGGCAGGCGGAGGAGCTGCGCCGCGGCCTCATCATCACCGCCGCCTGGTGAGACGGTGGGGCTAGCGTTGCGTTGTTAGGGGCCTGCTATCGTCACCATTGCCTGGTGAGGCAGCCGTCTCCCCACAACTGAGCTCATTCGCGTGGTGAGCGCACGCGTATGGGCCTGTCTGAGGCTGGTCCGTGGTGGACACGGCAGCTCGATACCGATCCCGGTCCAGGAGGCGGTGTCTGTGCCACAGCGTGACCGGCAAGCTCGCCCCGTCTCTGGGTGCCGGGCGGCAGGCCTTTCCGTCCGCTGCCGTGCGCTCGCGACCCGTCCGCGCCGTCTGGTGTGGGCTGCTCGCCTGACCGGACGGCCGGCGCCCCAGGTACGGCCGGCTCGTGCAGCCGAGCTCCGGGGACCAGCCGGAGCCCAGCCCCGACGACCTGGTCGACGTCACTATCCCGCTGCAGTGCCTGGTTAAGGACTCCAAACTGATCCTGCAGGAGAGCCCAAAGGTGAGCCCGGTCCGGGCGGCGGCCACCGCCAGGCAGCTCGCTGTCACAGCAGGAACTGGGTTATTCACCACGTGCGGAGTACTGATATTGGAGGAGGGCGATGGAGGATGTATTTTGAAACCCAACTGTCAGCCACGTGCTCACGCCTGATGCCCGCGTGGGGTTGAGTTATTTCGTGTCCCGTGAACCTAAACGCCTGTTAATCGTCGATCGACTCTGTCACAGGATGCCCCTGTTTTCCCCACTCTGCCCAGCTTCTGTTTGCCCCCTGTCAGGCGCCAGTCTGTTCGCAGGTCTGTACGTTTGTGTGTGTCGGTACGCGCGTTATTGTGAGTGTTTGGCCGTCTCTGATTCCGTCCGGCGCCGGCAGAGTCACCTGCCGGGCTTCTTCGACCCGGCGCCGGACACCGAGAAGAGCCTGCAGGTGGAGTACCTGTTCCACGGCGCGCGCCACCAAACGACCGTGGCGGACACGGACCCCCTGCGGATACCCAAGTCATGTGAGTGCTGCTCCGTGCCGCGTCACCGGCGGTGCCTGCAGTCTCCGGCAGAAGTCTGATGCTGGTCTGATGGTCAGGTCCGCCGGTCTGATGGTCTGGTTCACCAGTCTGATGGTCTGGTCGCCAGTCTGATGGTCTGGTCCACCGGTCTGGTGGTCTAGACCGCCGGTCTGATGCTGTCTCTCAGACCTGCCTGACACGTTAGCGCGGTGTACAGTCCCATGTGCTCTGGAGACATTCATGTTCTGAAATGTCGAACGCGAGTGAAGGCTCTGGCTAACTGTCGCTACGTTTCGAGCTCGCTGCCTTGATCTCGATGCGCCATCCCCTTGTCGATGCTCACTACGTGGATCCTCAGTGTGTGTCGTCCGTTGGCCACCCTGCCGTTCGGATTGTGGCTCATTCTTGCTTAGTATGATGCAATAAAGTTCATGGCGGAATTCTGACTGTAGTCTTGTCCAGTGGATGGCCCCCAGTGTGAATTTTAAACGATGGCTCGCTGTCCTGGCGGCTGACGTGACTCCTGACGTATCTGCGCTGTCTCTGACAGCTCCTGACTGACGTGTCTCCCCTGTCTCTATAGCGCACCACGTAGTTCCTGACTGATGTGCCTTCTCTGTCTCTACAGCACACCACATAGCCCCTGACTGATGTGTCTCCCCTGTCTCTGGCAACCCCTGACTGACGTGTCTCCCCTGTGTCTGCAGCGCACCACACGGCCCCTGACTGACGTGTCTCCCCTGTCTCTGTAGCGCACCACACGGCCCCTGACTGACGTGTCTCCCTGTGTCTGCAGTGCCACCACACTGGTCCCTGACTGACGTGTCTCCTGTCTCTGCAGCGCACCACACGGCCCCTGACTGACGTGTCTCCTGTCTGCAGCGCACCGTATCGAGTCGTGACGGCTGCGGCGGCGGGCGGCCCGGCCGGCCGACCCACTAGTCGACTAGTGCAATGTCAGGCGGCGGCGGCCACGCTGGCGTGTCGCCCAGAGCGCCGTGGCCGACCGTCGCGCCCCGGCCGCTCCCGGCTGGGCCAGTGTCGTCGCCACCGCAGCAGGGGTGTGTGACGGGGCCGCTCCCGGCTGGGCCGTGTCGTCACTGCCGCCGCAGCTGGGGTAGTGTGGGGTGCTGCCCCCGGCCGGGTAGTGTCGTCGCCACCGTAGCAGGAGTGTGTGACGGGGGGGGGGGGGGGGCGCTGCCACCGGCCGGGTAGTGTCGTCGCCACCGCAGCAGGGTCGTAACGAGGGGTGCCGTCTCTGGCCAGGCATTGTCGTCGCCGCCGCAGCGGGGTTTGTGTAACGAGGGAGTGCCGCCCCGGGCTGTGTAGTGTCGCCACCGCCGCAGCAGGAGTCTGTGACGGGGGGTGCCGCCCCCGGCCGGGTAGTGTCGCCACCGCCGCAGCAGGGGTGTGTGACGGGGGGCGCCGTCTCTGGCTGGGCAGCGTCGTCGTCGTCGTCGCCGCAACGGGGGTGTGTGACGGGGGGCGCCGCTCGGCTGTGTGGGGCGCAGTGCGTGGTGGTCGTCTCGTGTGGACAGGTGGGGTGCGAAAGGCGCAGGATATATCGAGTGGGTGACTGGGTGGAAGTGGTTCAGCGTTTGGTCACGATTGAGTGGATTGTGCTGGGCTGTGCTGGATACGACGTAACGAGTATATGCAGTTCAGCACAAAGTTTGTGTGACGTCTCTCCGGCCGGCGGACGGTGCTGGGTCGATACGCATGACATGTCTTCCACGCATGTCTTCAGCGGTTACGGTAAACAAGACAGGTACGGAGACCTGACAACACCACGTAACCAGACTGGTGACTCGGACACGGCGGTAGGATGCTGCAGGGTTGCTCACCCATGCATTAACGGCTTCAGGTATAGTTAGCCGGCCGTTTCTCATGTGGTGTCGTGGACTGAACATTGCAGTCGTGTCGCGGCTCGATTTCTGTCGCCCAGGAACAACGGATCATCCCGCGTCAGTTGAGGTCAGCCGCAATTTCCATGTCTTCTTTTTCCATGGAACACCAGAGGGTTGAAAGAAAGTCTCCAGGGATGGTGGCACGGCCGTTCCCGTTTTCCGACGCTTCCGTCATTGCGTCGGCGTTGCTACAGTTGTTCCGGTGTACTCCCCAGCCGTCCGCTGCCGTTGCGTTCCATCCGAAACGCTGAGTCACGAAAACCGTCCCAACGCTATTTGACGCCAACCTGACTGCCTGACAGCACACGCTTCCAGCGCGCCGGACTAATTGATCACATGGAATCCTTCATGTCCCATGGCTTACACTGCAAACGCCCGCTTCATGCCACTCCGGTGCCGTGAAGGTGTAGTCTCCCTCAGTCACTGGCGTTACCTCCCCCGTCGCCGTCCGAGCGACTGACCTCAGTCCCGAGTGACGTCACCGGGGTTACCTCTCCCGGTCGCTGCCCCGGTGGCTGACGTCAGTCCCGAGTGACGTCACCGGGGTTACCTCTCCCGGTCGCTGCCCCAGTGGCTGACCTCAGTCCCGGGGGACGTCACCGGGGTTACCTCCCCCGTCGCCGTCCGAGCGGCTGACCTCAGTCCCGAGTGACTTCACCAGGGTTACCTCTCCCGGTCGCTGGCCCGGCGGCTGGCCTCGGTCCTGTGATGTCGCCGTGGACCCAGCCTGGGTAGGCAGGCATGGCGGGGGCTTGCGTTGTAAGCCGTTACCATGCCTGCAATGCAGGCCACGCTCTGAGGGGTACCACACGGTCATACCCGAGTATGATAGCGGTGTCGCGTCACACTCGGGCGTGTCACGCTCTGAGGGGTACCACACAGGTCATACCCGAGTATGATGGCGGTGTCGCGTCACACTCGGGCGTGACGGCCACAGCCGTCCGGCTGGCAGCAGGCGACAACCAGACAAAACCCCTCATTCGAAAGGCACGGCCGGATTGTTCAGTGTATTATCACTTGTCCCCACATGCCCGGACGGCCACGGCCCGCGAGGCTAAGCGCCCCAGCGCTGCCGCACAGAGTTGAACACAGCGGCTACGGGGGCGTAAAGCACCGGGCTCTTAGAATCGAGTGCTATAACGCATAAGCAAATAACGCGACCGTGGCATGGATTAAAAAAAAACAAACATCACGACGGGGTGTCTCATGCCAACCGGTCGCAACAAGATTCCAATACCTGGTTTACCATGTGGCCATAGCCAGCTCGAGATCGCCGGCCCGTCAGACGCACCCACGCCCAGCGACCGTCACGGCGCGAGGGCGGGGCCTCGGGACGGGACGGGCTCCGGTCAGCCGCGCCAGGCCGCCGGGCCGCAGCCGCCGCGGCGACGGTACCACAGCGGTGCCAGACGCGCGGCGTCCCGCGGCGGTACCAGGGAGGCATCCGACGTGACCTGGCCGCGCCCGGACCGGGTGCGGGCACCGAACGGCAGCCTGCCCGCGCGCCCGGCGCACGCAGGCGCCTGGGGCCCCAGGAGCGGGAGAAACGACGAGGTCGTTTCCGGGACGCAACAATGTACGGTGTGACGGAGGGACACCTGGGACCGCGTCCACCAGGCAAGCACACATCAGCAATACGCGTCCGCAGCCGCGTCGCGAGGTTGTACTCGGGGAACCGAACATGTCTATGGACGGAGTGCGAGGGGTCCCTGGCAGCACGACCCCATGTGCTAAAACAACTGACTACGATATCAGATGAACACAAGCTGAAATGGCATAACAGATCTCTGCGAGTGGCTTGAAATGCACACACTTCATGACTGACTTGGTGAACGCCTTGGTGAACACAGGCCGGCTTCTGACTGGGCTATGGTCCCAACGCCACTGGTTGAGCAATATTGAACTCGTTCTCTTATCTCACCTACGACGCCACGTAAACAGAACACAACAGCATTCACAATGCGAGTCCTTAAACAACCCACAACCATGCTACCACTAAGAACACGATGACTATGCTCAGTACATATCTTGATTTCGACATGACGCGAACCACGATATGATCACATGACGGCAGGCAAAGGTCGGACTTCCCAGCTAATCGTATCCGAAGTCCGCTCCTCTGGTCGCTCTGATACAGCCAATTCCTCCAACGCACAGCTGTCGCGTCTGCTCACGTTTTGGCGTCTTCCTCCGATTGTTAGTGCCCTAGTTTGGCCCGCCTCCCGTTCCCACGTGACCTACAGCACTTCGCCGGTCAATCCACCCGCGGCCTCCTCTGACGCGCCAGCCCCGGCCGTAGGCGCGCCCCGTCCCGCCATATCCACACCTGCCCCCGGCGTAGTCGCCCCATCGCGCTGCGTCAGCTCGTCGGTCGAGGCCTCCCGGCGTCCTGCGCTGACCGGATCCCCGCCAGCGGCCGGTGCGGCGGCGGCGTCCTGAGCCGGGTCGGGCGGCGCCAGCGAGTGGCGGCGCGCGGCTGGACTGCGCGGCCGCTCGGCCGAGCCGGCCTCGGAGCGCGTGCGACGGCGCGCGATCAGCCGGGCGGACGCTCAGCTCTTCCGCCAGCGGCGGCTCGTCGGCCGGGGACGGCGGCTCGTTAGCCGGCGGCAGCGGCGGCGGCGAGGCGCGCTCGGCTGGCGCCGGGCCGCCCGCAGGCAGCGCCGCCGACATGGCCTCGATCTGCTCCCGCATCTCGGCCCAGTACTGCTGCTCCTGCACACGCACACAAGCACGGGGACGCGGCAGTCAGTGCGGGGCCGGGCTCATGCCAGCGCGGGGACACGACACGGCGGTCGGTATCGGTCACCACCCTCGCGCATCGAGTGGTGCCGGGGTGACTCCCGCCAATCCGGCCTAGTGCCCGCTGCTATACACACCAGAGACGTGACAGGCTGTGTCGGGTTAGCACTGCTCCACACGGGGATGACACGGCAACGAGTCAGTCAGGGCTCCGCATCGACGCACACACAGAGTGTATGGCCACTGTCTGCCCGGTATGGCCACTGGTCTGAAGTAACAACTACACTCCGCTGCTTCCGCGCTTTTAGACATCCTCAAAGCGGCATTGAAACTGGAATGTGGTAAAGATAAGCTTGTTTTGTGGTGCCTTTTCTGTTCCCACTATTGTCTTGATTTACTGATTGTTAATCAAGTGTGTCCGTCTAAATGTTCCCGGTGAGCCGTACGGAGACGGGTGGGAGGGGTGTCGAGTGTTGCCTGACGTCGTACCTGGCTGAGTTTGAAGTCCTCCTCGTAGTCACTGGTGGCCGATTCTGTGACGCCCGAGACGCTGACCAGGTCACACGTGTCCAGATCAATGGGCACCAGGTCAGGTTCCAGCTCTCTGCCGGACAGCAACGGCTATCCAGTCAGGTAAGCTCGCTGGGCACGCATGCTCAAGTCGTATGGAACGGGCCGCATCATCCGTCTAAAGTGCAATCAGGATTGCAACCAGGATCGCATGGCACCACAGCGAAAGTAAGCCGGCGCCATGACTTTGGACTACAGTCACAGTTCGCTTATGCAGTCGGTCAGTCCCGCGCGCATAGCGCCATCCTCCCGACAACGGTCAGGCGGACGAGATGACGAGTCGCCGGTCTGCAGCTGCGCTCGGCAGGGTCACAGCGCGAGAGCCGGCTCCGACACGACACAGCTGACCCCGGAGCAACGCCCACTGGAGCCGGCTCTGACACGACACACCTGACCCCGGAGCACCACCCACCGGAGCCGGCTCTGACACGACACACCTGACCCCGGAGCACCACCCACCGGAGCCGGCTCTGACACGACGCACCTGACCCCGGAGCACCACCCACCGGAGCCGGCTCTGACACGACGCACCTGACCCCGGAGCACCGCCCACAGGAGCCGGCTCTGACACGACACACCTGACACCGGAGCACCACCCACCGGAGCCGGCTCTGGCACGACACACCCGACCCCGGAGCACCGCCCACCGGAACCGGCTCTGACACGACACACCTGACCCCGGAGCACCACCCACCGGAGCAAGCACTGACACGACACACCTGACCTGGGAACACCGCCCACCGGAGCCGGCTCTGACACGACACACCCGACCCCGGAGCACCACCCACCGGAGCCGGCTCTGGCACGACACACCTGACCCAGGAGCACCACCCACCGGAGCCGGCTCTGGCACGACACACCTGACCCAGGAGCACCACCCACCGGAGCCGGCTACGACACGACACACCTGACCCCGGAGCGCCACCCACCGGAGCCGGCTCTGACACGACGCACCTGACCCCGGAGCACCACCCACCGGAGCCGGCTCTGGCACGACACACCTGACCCCGGAGCACCACCCACCGGAGCCGGCTACGACACGACACACCTGACCCCGGAGCGTCACCCACCGGAACCGGCTCTGACACGACACACCTGACCCCGGGGCACCGCCCACCGGAGCAAGCACTGACACGACACACCTGACCCCGGAGCACCGCCCACCGAAGCCGGCTCTGACACGACACCCCTGACCCCGGAGTACCACCCACCGGAGCCGGCTACGACACGACACACCTGACCCCGGAGCACCACCCACCGGAGCAAGCACTGACACGACACACCTGACCCCGGAGCACCACCCACCGGAGCAAGCACTGACACGACACACCTGACCTGGGAACACCGCCCACCGGGGCCGGCTTTGACACGATACCCCTGACCCGAAACACCGCCCACCGGAGCAGGCTCTAACACGACACACCTGACCTGGGAACACCGCCCACCAGAGCCGGCTCTGGCACGACACACGCGACCCCGGAGCACCACCCACCAGAGCCGGCTCTGACACGACACACCTGACCCCGGGGCACCACCCACCGGAGCAAGCACTGACACGACACACGCACCCCAGAGCACCACCCACCAGAGCCGGCTCTGACACGACACACCTGACCCCGGAGCACCACCCACCGGAGCCGACCCTGACACGACACACCTGACCCCGGAGCACCACCCACCGGAGCCGGCTCTGACACGACACACCTGACCCCGGAGCACCACCCACCGGAGCCGGCTCTGACACGACACACCTGACCCCGGGGCACCACCCACCGGAGCAAGCACTGACACGACACACGCGACCCCGGAGCACCGCCCACCGAAGCCGGCTCTGACACGACGCACCTGACCCCGGAACACCACCCACCGGAGCCGGTTCTGACACGACACACCTGACCCCGGAGCACCGCCCACCGAAGCCGGCTCTGACACGACACACCTGACCCCGGAGTACCACCCACCGGAGCCGGCGCTGCTCGTGGATTTGTTCGGAGATGTTCTCCAGCTCCCGCAGCGAGGACGAGTAGCGCGCCTTGGCCGAGCTGACGGCGCGCTGCAGCTGCTGAATGGCTACCTTCTGGCGCATCAGCTCCTGCTGCACCACCTCGCGCTGTTCGAAGTAGGGCCGCGCCCGGCCGATGTGTCGGTCCAGCGTCCGTTCCAGCCGTTTCAGCTGCCGGCGGAGACCACAAGTCGTCCCCTCACGACCCCGCTGGTGCTCACCCGACGAGAGCGCTCTACTCCGGCAGAAGGCTCCGGCGTGGGCCCACATTAGTCTAATAATAGCCGCAATAGCGTAATAAATGAAGATAATGAATTGTCACTGGAAATGTACTACCTTGCACACGATTCCCAACTCACGATGTTTCCTTGCAAATGCACCAAAACAACACCATCTGGCGACAGCTTTGCTCGTCCACGCTCCTCGGTCACACAATGTTTAGCCAACTCGCCTCTCCGTATTCATGCTTCGACTAATAACGTACGATTAAGGCCGCTTTCGCATGGGAGCCAGCCTGCGTAGCATGGGAGCTAGCCAGTTCTGGCCTTGAACGGCCAAGCTTCTATCTTTCCATACGATGTCAGTGGAACAGCCCCACTCGGGTCCTTACAAAGGCAGCAATGCTATCAATTGTGCCAGTTAGACCAATCGCGCCAATTGGTCCGCGTGGCGCGCCATTTACAGAGACTGTACGTCACGAGTGCGGCAGCAATCTTGCACCGACCTTCATTCTCACATTGAAAACCAGTGGGAGCGCAGTACGAGGTCATGAAGAGAAAAAAACAAATGCATCCAGGTCAATCTAATTTTCGCATTTGTTAAACGGTTTGCCAGCTATTAACGGAGTACAAATTACATTTTAGTGCGAAATGAAGAGAATATTTCCACATGCTTTTTGTCATCGCAATGAACGTAGTGTTTCTGCCTATCCGTCATGACAGTGGGCGTGCAGCACCTTTTTCTGCGCGTCTGCGAAATTGTTGGCGCGGCGCAGGTGTTCGCACTCGCTGCTGATCTTGAGCTGCTCGGCCTCCAGCAGTTTCATGGTGGCGTGGTTCAGCATCTCCTGCCACGCGTTGTCGAACTCGAACTGCTCGCGCTGCGTGCGGCGCGGCAGGAAGCGCTCCTCGGCCAGCTGGATGGTCTCGCGCGCATTCTGGTGCAGCACTGACGGGGGCGCAGAGGTTGCGTCACGGCGGAGACGCGGGGCTGTCTGGCAGCCACGGCGCAGGCATGTCACGACAGGCAGTGTCGGGCGCGTTCGTGATCATGGCGGGAAACCAAGGCGGTTTCAGGAGAAACTGATATACTCAGGGCACTGAACTCACGAAAAGCTGGAGCACAGGGTTGGGGCAGTGACGTGGCCGCCGGTATACACGAGACCAGCGCGCATGATGTAGTGTCGCGGCTCTCAGTGGCGGATTCGCTCACCGCCATACCAGATGTGCCAACCGACTGAGGGGCAAGTCTGCATGCCAAAAATGATGACGCAAACGCGTCCCAAGTGGGGCAAGTTAAGAGCCAATGACAGTGATGTTCCCAACTTCATGTGCAAACAACCAAAGAAGGCATCCCCAAATAATCAGAGCGAAATGCATTCTGTCTGTTTGTCCCTCCTGAGTCTCCTTCCATGGTGTCAGCGCACACCCGCTGGTACACGACGGTCCCGTCGCGCTGCCGCCGGCACGGGCGCGCACGCTCACCGCTGGCCCGCTGGAACTGGACGGCCGCCTTCTGGCACTCGAGCTGGGTGCGGCGCGCCGCCTCGCGCGCCTCGTAGTACGGCCGCGCCTTCTCGACGCCGGCGCCCAGCCGGCCCGACAGCAGTTTCAGGCTGGCTGTTGAGTCGCTCAGTGTGCTCCGGAACAGGGCGTTGGCTTCCTGCCGGGCGGAGCGCGAGCGGCGCTGGACGTCATCACACGCGACACGGTGTCCTCCGCTCCGACCGGCGGCGCAGGAGGACGGGTCGGCTTCACGTGGGGGACCGCGAGCGGCGCTGGACGTCATCACACGCGACACGGTGTCCTCCGCTCCGACCGGCGGCGCAGGAGGACGGGTCGGCTTCACGTGGGGGACCGCGAGCGGCGCTGGAAGTCATCACACGCGACACAGCGTCCTCCGCTCCGACCGGCGGCGCAGGAGGACGGGTCGGCTTCACATGGGTGCAACTTGGGGATTCAATTATTGTACCGACTGCTGCTTCTGCCCCTCTGGTTGTTGGCTACAGGTTAAAATTATGGGGTTTATGTTTTAATTTATTCCTGACACTGCTAATTGCACAAGCAACAACATGATATTTGACCCAGTTAATCCAGAAATCTACCTCCTAAACACCAGTTGGCCACATCTTCCACATCCTTTAGCACAGCTGGCCCAACCTTGTGCCAAAGCTTGTTCATTCCCCTGTCTCCTGTTAAATGTCTTGGTGAGATTCAACAATGAGACAACTCACCTCAAGTTTGTTCTCAAGTTTATTAATGTCTTCAGAGGAAGCATTCAGACGATCCAGCTCAATCTGAAACATCAAGCAAGTGCAGAAGGTCATTTTCCAGGTGTTTGTTTCTTAACGCACCACAGGTTTATAGCAAAGCCACCGCTTTACACTCCACCACCTCTTATAGAAATCATTGTATGTGGATGCATTTGGCTCACAAATTTTGGTCGGGGTATAAGGTATATACATTGGGTATAGGGTAGGGTATAGGGTATATACATTGCTATCCTCATGTTAAGAAAGAGCATTGTACATCAATCCTCGTTTTTAAGGCAGAACATGTCGAAATTAATCGTAAGACAGGTCATCTAAACTCTTACCTTGGAACTTAAATGACTACGATAGCGAACATCCGAGCGCAAACACGCAGCAACCACGACCCCAGCGCCATTTCTACGCGTGATCACAGCATTACTGCGTGATCACAACATTACTGTGCATCAAGAACCATAAAAATGTACGAGGCCAAGGCATCAAGAATCCAATGAAATGTGTTTATTGCGTATCAAAACAGTCTTCCATATTGTTTGTAGATTTGTCGACATGGTGGGGAAATATGACGTTTTGGGGTGGGAATGAAAAGCAAAATGAGAATATGGCGGCTAAACAAAGCTTCTTAATACAGAACATACATATGGCATGGAACATGAATGTCAATGGAACACTGGGTTGATGGGGATAGGGTGGGGAGTTAGGTTAGGTTAGGTTAGGTTAGGTTAGGTTAGGTTAGGTTAGGTTAGGTTAGGTTAGGTTAGGTTAGGTTAGGTTAGGTTAGGTAAGGTTAGGTTAGGTTAGGTTTGGTTAGGTTAGGTTAGGTTGTTAGGCCAGGCTAGGCTAGGTTAGGTTAGGTTAGGCTAGGTTAGGATAGGCTTCAGTTAGGTTAGGCTAGCTTAGGCTATGTTCTAGGCTATTCTGGCCTGTCCGTTTCATAAATGTACCTAGACGCGATAAGAAATGTTTTTCATTGCATTATTATTGTTACCTTGGTTCCGTACATTTTTATGGTTCTTGATAAGCAGAAATATTGTAATTCTGCAACAATAATGCAGAAACGGCGCTTGTGAGTCCGGGCGGTGGGGTGTGTGCGGCGCTCGGGAGTTCGCTGTCGTATTTATACAAATTTTGAAGGTAGGAGCATGAGTCTACTTGTTTCAAGATTATTTGCAATATGTTCCACCTTAAACACAATGAATGGCATACCATGATTTTTTCTAACATTAGGTACCAATGTATACCTACACCAAAATTTCCAACAGTAGAAATTTCTAGCACATGCAGCTTACATACAACAGCTTGAGACCATGTTATCATTGCCAACATTGGTATGTGCATCACCGAGCTTTACATGAATATCTCCACCATACACCTAGCTTCACCAAACCTAGCCTGATCTAAACCAAACCCTCACCCATTCCCACCCCTAAATCTCCCCACCTTATCCCCCCCCCCCAACCTAGCATTATTCCTGTCTGATACACACTCTTGTCACCCACCGTCTCTTAAATGAAGCACTGCGAGTTGGTGCATGCTCTATTCTCCCTCACACAAGACCCTATAGTTCATCACTACCCAATAACCTATTTATGGCACATCATGAATCCCCAGTTCCCTCTCTTTTTGTAATAGCCATTTTTGAGTTCTATCATTGTAATCTCACCTTGCTGCCTCAATATTGTCTCATTTAAGTGTAAAACACAACTAACAGAGACAGGCCACATTCATTTTATTTTGAGGCAAGATCAGGCAATTCTCCTCATGTCTGAACAGTGTTGGAAATATGCAGTGCTAAGTAGTTACCTTAAATATCTAGGAGGTTCCATACCAAAATGCCATTCAGAATGCAATTTGTACAGCACATTCCATTTTGTGGAAATCTAGTGGCATCAGCACATCAGCTGATTGAGGCACAATTGTGAGCACCAGCTTAGTATGTCATAGCTATGGTCACATGCTGCCATAGATACAAAATCCCTTTTTAGAACAAAAATTGCAGGAGGCAATTTCAGGCAAAATGCATGTGCATGGTACATGCTGGTTTGCAATACATTATCACTAAATGTGATATGAGACACCCTTCACACTCAATATTTTAGGGCTTCATGTGGACTTTGTCAAAAAAGAAGTGGAGGCCTACACCAGTGACCCTAACATGCTAGCAGCCTTGAACAATGGGACAAACATATGTGGGTTACCAGCATTTTAGCGGTTAGCAACACACCTAGAACAGTCAGGGTGTACTTTCCTACCTCATGTTACAAAAGAGCATTGTATATCAATCATTGTTTTTAAGGCAGAACATATCACAATTAATTGTAAAACAGGTCATCTATACTCTTACCTTGGAACTTAACTTATTACGATACCAAACATCCGACTGCCGCAAACACACATCAGCCGCGACACCGGCGACATAGAAGCTATGTAACACAGGCAAATGTAGCAACTTATACCCAAAAATGCACAAAAGGAATGCCATTTCAACAGAAAATTGTTGAAAATGGGCAGTTTGAGAGACTTGTCATGTAAATTAAGTCCCTGACATGACTGTTTCTCTACCCACCTTACAATACCTAGCATTAACATGTGTCACCTAAACTTTTTTAGCACGCGTTTTATTCATTATCTTTTGGAAACACCCAACTTTGGGGTAAATTTACGTCTTGGAAACAGAACAGGGGTTTAATACCTGCACTCGGGGATCTAGTGGTTCTTCTTCTTCACATTCCATCGCCTAGGAAGCGGAAGGCAAGCCGAATTAACCAGGCCTTTTTGCCCTATTACACTCAACACCCCCACGGCACTACGCCACTACCACCGCCGGCCGCGCCAGCACCCTTCATCGAGGGTTTAGCGTCAGCAATCCCTAATCTAAGTACCGTGGGCGTCTAACAGGAATGCTGGACTGGTGCGCAAAAGTTGACGTCACCAGAAATCACGAAGTTTGTTGGACGATTTTCATGTTTCGGATAAATGTACCTTGGTGATTGGTATATTTAAGCTGAAATTGTCCTACCATCGCAATACCGAACATATGAAAATCGGCATTCATGTTCGTTCTGCTCGAGGCGCTACTGGCGCTGATGACTCATTTTTGAGTCACTCGAGCCACTCAAGCATTTAGCCCGCATTTGCGTGGCGGCCGGCGATCGCTGTGGCTTCCGGGCGCGGCAGCAGTAGCGGTGTGGTGGGTAATGCTGTCGGAAGCGAGCGTGCTTCACAGGAAAACCAAAAGATTGAATGACGCAAGTGTGAAATGTATGTTGTGCTCATCCTGATTTGCCATGGTGCCATTTTAAGTTAGATATGGGACGGCGAAGGTCAGGCAGTGTGTGGAACCTGGAGGTTTTATCTCTTTGTCTTTCAAGCTTTCCTGCTTTCAGTAATGGATTGACAGGCCACCATAGAGGACCTGCCTTTGAATTGAGGTATCTTTATATGCCCAGGATTCCATTGCAACATATTGAGTGCCTTTTACTGTTGAGAAGCACTGGGCATCTTATGTTGTGAAGAAGTCCTGGGCTTTCAGCCCCAAGCACCAATGCCACCTCCAAGGGGAGGGGGGGGGGGGGGAGGCAAAGCCCCCCAGGTATACCACTGGTTTGTTGGGCTGACTATTCAGTGCTCATAAGGTTGTGCCCTGAATTGGCTTAGCACCACTGAGTTCACTATCCTGAACATGAAAGTGTTCTAGTCACTGACAGCTTGGACAGTGAATGCTTTTATCTGCCCCAAGTGACTGGTTGCTGTGGGTTAAAAGGGTGCCCCCTTGTCAACCCAACTGTGGCTGATGAGAAAAAAGTAATTGAGAGAAGATTAGGCCTTTCATGGAACAGGTGGTTATGAAATGCCTAGTAAGGCAATTCTCTAATATTTCCTTTTATCAGGTGTGAATCTATGGTTTACTTCAGCTTTCTAGTAATTTCATATTAATGAGATCAAATTGCTACATGTCATGAGCTTGCATGCCTTGAGTGTAAGAGATCCAACAACCCTGCTAAAGACAAGCATATGAAAGATAGGAAGTTTCTAAAATATTTATTTGCTGTGGCACAGCCAAATTTATGGGATGTGTATGTATGGGGGTGGGTGAGGGAGGGGGGTAAAGAGCTTGGTGTAGGGTCCTGGATTTCGACTATTTTTCTGTGAGAGAGCCCGTTTTTGTGATTTTTCATTCCTGCCATCGGGTTCATCCGTTGATGGCTTTGTAGATTAGATACTAAGGAAACAGCTTGCCTTTCCCTGGCATGTGCACTGTGGGTAAAGCACTAGGGGGGCATTAGCTGTCTTAGCTCAGGTGAATGACTTTACTGTCACAGTGTGGGGTACCTCATCTATTGTTCTGGAACATGGGGAATGGGAGCTGCCTGGTTGATCCAGAGACCTTGTAAAGAGCACATCATGTCTTGGTCTCTTCTCTGATACAGGAGGCCCTTTTACTGGAGCAGTTGGCCTTCACTTGGTACAGTGGCCTTCATGAATACAAACAAGTCCCTATCTGCACAGGAGCTCCAGTAACGAACAGGGATCCCAACTTAGCGTATCATACCTCTGGCTGAAACAGGTTAGAGGGTGCCTCACTCAGTACTGCAGCTTATGGGCATGGCCCGTCCACTGTCTTATAGTGCAGCCTTTCATTGTCAGGGGGCCTTAAGGAACATGAGAGATGTCCTGATGTTCAGGGTCCTGTCCCTGTCATTGTTCAGCACATGAGCCACTGGCCAACTCAGGATCCTTGCTAGTGTAGGATTTCCTGTGTGGTGGCTGTGTCACCTGGCAAACACAGGGCCCCCATACTGTAATGGGGATCCAACCAATGGAAGAGCCTTCTAACTGGTATTGGTGGCTGTGGCCTTGTCCCTGCTTGGGAAATGGGCTCCCATGCTGACATGGGCCAGCTGTTTGATATGGGTGGCCTGTGACCAACAAACAGGCCAGCACTGTCCCAGTGCTTGCTTGATTGATGCAAGATGTCAAATGATTCACATCTTAGCGCACTAGCCCTCCATGCAAGGGGTCAGCCCTTTGCACCATGCAATAATCAGGCTCTTGAGTGTGGTTTCGGAAGAGCTTTGAGGTCCCCTTGGGACCTAGAGGTAGGGTACATATGCCCCCTGTACCCTGCCCCACATACCTGTGTGCCTGTTTCTGTGCAATGCCCCCTGGATACAGCTAAATTCTCCAACACTTGTGGCTCTCTTGTGCCAAAGCTCACACATAGCCATGCCAAATTTAGGGTTACATCAAACTCCTTTGGCATAAGGTCAGGCATGAAGGGCAAAACTGCAGTCAAAACCAGCCTGCTGTTTTACTGGAAAGCTTGCTTTACAGGGTAGCTTCTTTTGATCATTTCAAGTTTAGCATAAAAGGGACTGCAGCAGACATCTTTCATGGACTTCTTAAAGGTCAGAAACAGCCACTGACCTAAAATGACAAGGTCAACCCTTTGTTTCCAGGAATGTACCACCTTGCATAATCTGTTATGCATATTCAAACTAAAAACAAACAAAAAAAACCTTGCAGGCTTTTGACCACCATGACCTTCTTAAGTTAAAACAAAGTTGTGGACCTAAAAGAACTTGAATGAGCTTTTGCTTAGAAAAGATGTTGTGTAAGGCAGTTGCATGAGGAGGTCTTACACACTTAGGACACCAATCAGAGTTTGACTTGGTTTGACCTTATTTGAACCAAAGGTCATAATCTATGAACCTCAAATTTTAACACAAGTGACTTCACCCACAGACCAACCCATCTTGTGAATTGGTGCATCTAGCTCTCCTAATGTTTAAGATCTCAGGAGGTCAGATTGACTCCTACCCAGGCGAATGGTATTCAGCCGGCCTCAGCAGCATGTTTAATACACTTAGCAATGAGTGTCTTCTGTGTTACAGCGGGCATCTTAGGCTGTAAGTTGGGTCATACATCAAAACCTTAGCAGCACCACTGCATCAAGAATGACTCAAAGGGAGGAAACACAAGTACAGATGGAAAGCCTGTCAAGGGTAAGGCAGAAGTGTTGCTACAGACTTAAACTGTTTTTAGGTCACATGTTTGTTTAGACATGTATATATGTATATATATATATATATATATATATATATATATAAAATTGGTGATTTTATAGTGAACAAATTGTAAGTGTTGTAAATGTTGTGTGATTGTGGGTGTGAGTGATACATGTTGTCCTAGGTAAAATGCTAGTGTTATGAATGCACTTTATTTCCAAGGTTATTCCTCCAGCTCACTTCATGAGATTACTGGCCAGCTGAACACAAGAGTGGCGGACTGTGGCAGCCGCTTCACGCGGCGCCGCCTTTCCAGCCGGACTGGCGGGCCGTGTTCGACCGGTTCGACCTGGATCACGACGGCGAAGTGCCGCTGCTGGAGTTCCGCCGCTACCTGTCGGACCCCCAGCTCCGCAGCCGCATCCCCGACCACGTTCTGGACGAGATTCTGGCCAGGGCCGACACCAACATCGACGGCTCCCTCAGCTTCCAGGAGTTCCTGGACATGGTGAGCAGGCAGCAGTCAGCGCAGTTACACAGCAAATGCCGCCTTGTATCGCACGGGTCACGATGGAGATCGCTAGTGTCGCGATGCAGTCTTGGGGCCATTGAGGCTCCTTGTGCTTTTTGTCGTCAATAGTAGTTGGAAAATGAAGCCAACAGCTATCCAAGCCAAGGTGAAGCGCATTGTGCTGTAAACGATGGCTCCAAAGCTATGTCGTGATGGTGGCTTTTAGAAGGTAATATGCCTTGCAGATGTGTTGGCGTCACAGTGCCACTGCTTGGTTGTGCATTCGCAGGTATCTGCTGCACCCTGCTCGCCGGCCTGGGCCTTATTTACAACATCCGCAATGATTTCTTTAGGTCGTTATATAATCTTGTCTAAGAAAGTTTTCCGGACTGCTGGAAGATTGCACTGACTGCCTATCATCATTTTAAGATCTGGCTAACACCATGCGGGCTGTGTTGTCCAGGTGCAGAGCCAAGGTCTGGGCCCCGAGGGCGGCAGTCTGTTCCGCACCTTCCTTGTGAGGGCTGCCAACAGTGTGGTGCCCAAGTCGAAGCGCTCCCGTCGCTACCTGGACCAGTACTCCTGCTGCCCGCCCCCGGTCTTCATGGTGCTGGTGTCCGTCGTGGAGGTATGGAGCGTCGAGGGGGCTCCGCTTGTGATACGCTGTGAAAGTCAGGCGGGGCTCGCTCGCCGATATGGCATGCGGTACTGACGTGTCTCAGGCCAGGTCAGGAGAAGTCTCGAGTATTACGTGAGAACTTTAAGCTCCATCACGACAGGCCGCTGACCTACGACCTACGATCTACGACAGGCCACTGACCTACGGCCCACAACCCAGGACAGACCGCTGACCTACGACCAACGATCTACGACAGGCCACTGACCTACGGCCCACGACCCACGACAGGCCACTGACCTACGGCCCACGACCCACGACCCATGACAGGCCACTGATCTACGACCCACGACAGGCCATTGATCTACGACCTACGACAGGCCACTGACCTACGACAGCCGACTGGGAGGGGGTCGCATCTACTCTCGCCCCCCTTTCATTAGACCGCATGATGAAAAACGGCAAATCAGGGCGAGGGTTAAGCCGGGCATGGTCGCTCCAGGTCAAATCTCGGACTCCAAAGCACCAACAACGCTTCTCTATCGGGGACCGGCATACTCGAGATGCACCTGTGGTAGCATAAGAGCCGTTCGGTGCGGGAGTTACGTCTGGTTAACTCTTGGAAGTCACCTTGAGCTATTCTAGCACATTGTAACCTCTACCGATAGCATGGTCCCATTTCAAAATTCCAGTGTAAGGTCGCCCATAGCCGGCGTCGTTGAATGTCATTTTTCGGGTGACCTAGCATTTATTACTACTTTGAAGTAGGTCGTGTTCTGACTTGACTTGTCACGTGGACCAGATTTAGGGTATAGGCGTTAAAAACCTACGATGAGTCCGCCTCGACGATGATGACCTTGATATCATTTGACCTCGTTGCCTCCGACTGACGGATCAGCCACAGGAGACCACGTAAAATACTCGTGGTGAACGTTGTGTAATTCTTACGGGGCAAAATTTTTCCCGATTTTTATGCTCGTGTTCATGGGCGTTGAGTTGGCGGGGGGGGGGGGGGGGTCGCGTCCCTACGTTGGGGCCCGCGTCCGTATGCTGAGGAGAGTGGCCAAAACGGGAAACTGGGGAAAGTTGAGTTTTGGCGCGAGCCAGTTTGTGACGTGGGTCCACGCGCTATAACCTTTGCGAGTTGTGTGTGTATGCTTGCGCGCGTACGTTCGTCTATATGCGTAACTACGGAGTGAAAATGTTGTCCTACGGAGGGCCCACTGCGACGCTTGGCACCGCTGCGGAGCGGATAGCGCGCCTCGATCAAGGTAAGGCCGGATACCGGCGGCCAAGGCCGGACACCGGAGGCCAAGGCCGGACACCGGAGGCCAAGGCCGGATACCGGCGGCCAAGGCCGAATACCGGAGGCCAAGGCCGGACACCGGAGGCCAAGGCCGGACACCGGAGGCCAAGGCCGGACACCGGAGGCCATGGCCGGATGCCGGAGGCCAAGGCCGGACACCGGAGGCCAAGGCCGGACACCAGAGGCCAAGGCCGGACACCGGAGGCCAAGGCCGGACACCGGAGGCCAAGAGCGGACACCGGAGGCCAAGGCCGGATGCGCCGCCCGCTTATCGCCATCAGTATTGACTCTGGTGCGGCGCCCGCCCGGCGCCGGATCGCTGACGCTGGCCGGGGCCGTGTTCGGTTCCAGCTCGTGCTGTTCATCGTGGACGGCGTGCGCATGGGCGGCGTGACGGCCAGCGGCCCGGTCGACACCGAGTCGGTGCTCATCTACAGTTCGCGCCGCCGCGCCGAGGCGTGGCGTTTCCTCTCCTACATGTTCGTCCATGTCGGGTGCGTCTCTTGGAGAGCTGGGAGCGTGGAATGCAGCAGGTGTGAAGTGGACGCGATGTTACCGAGTAGTTTAACTAACGATATGCCCAAATATTCATCACCATCGTACATGACTTGACGCGACAAACCATGCTTATCAAAATTCCCCCGCAATTAAAGCCATCGGTACAAGCAAGTGTTTGAAATGGAGTTGTTCAGAAAACCGCGCCACCGGGCGGTGCTGGAGCCGAGGCAGATTGGCGACGAGAGGGCCGAGATTGAGGATATTTTCGCGTACGATTTCTCTCAACATCATTCAAACACTGCCGCGTTGAATTCTTATTTTATCTGGGTTGGGCAGTTCCTTCCATTTACCTATTGTCGATTTGGAAGCGGGAATATGTCAGGAAGTGTTGGGATTCGCCTGATTTGTCATTAGTGCCTGCCTGCCAAGTAGCGTGTTAGTGCGTGTGGGCTGCTTGCACCACCGACAGTTGGTCTGAGCAGCATGACAGATGGTGCGCCGCCCAGCGCGTCACATGACGTTTGTATCACTCTTCAGGTACGTGCACATCACGACGAACCTGGTGGTGCAGCTGCTGGTGGGCCTGCCGCTGGAGCTGGTGCACCGCTGGTGGCGTGTGGCCATCGTCTACCTCTGCGGCGTGCTGGCTGGCTCGCTGGGCACCTCCGTGTTTGACCCCAAGGTGAGCGACGGCACCTCCTGATCTGGGATCGTCTCGCCGGATTTAACGACAAATTGAGGTGCTGTACCATCAGGGGTGTGCTCTCGTCCAAGCTGGACCTCAGTGCAAGCCGCTGCGCACTTGCAGATGTGTCGGGACAACGTCGGCCGTCTGGGCGAAATGCTCGGTACTGAAGACCTCGGTCTTGCCGGATTGAGTGCGAATCTCTGCTGTACCGCAGTGGACATCGCTTGCACCGCCCGGTCGTCCCGTAGCGCATTTCTTCTGGTGTCACTGTGTTCGGCGTGACTGATTGTAGCATCCCAGTTAGTTGAAGTATTACCCTTTGATTTGCTTTGTGGTGCCCGTAGACCCCGACCATTGCTTATGCGCGTTTATGTGGTCGTGCTTTGAATGACCTTGTGTTCTGTGGCCACTTGCGTCACCACCATCAGGTGCTAACTTAGTTACGTTACATCATGCGACTGCTGGCAGCGACATTGTCAGTGGTGCTGGCAGGTACTACCTGAACTACCCGACCCCTATGCTGTGACCAGCCACGTTTCCACATGGAGCCTCTGCGCTCTCTGTGACCGCTGACGTCACCACCTGGAGCCTCTGCGCTCTCTGTGACCCCTGACATCACCACCTGGAGCCTCTGCGCTCTCTGTGACCGCTGACGTCACACCTGGAGCCTCTGCGCTCTCTGTGACCGCTGACGTCACCACCTGGAGCCTCTGCGCTCTCTGTGACCCCTGACGTCACCACCTGGAGCCTCTGCGTTCTCTGTGACCGCTACGTCACCACCTGGAGCCTCTGCGCTCTCTGTGACCGTTGACGTCACTACCTGGGGCCTCTGCGCTCTCTGTGACCGTTGACGTCACTACCTGGAGCCTCTGCGCTCTCTGTGACCGCTGACGTCACCACCTGGGGCCTCTGCGCTCTCTGTGACCGCTGACGTCACCACCTGGAGCCTCTGCGCACTCTGTGACCGCTGACGTCACCACCTGGAGCCTCTGCGCTCTCTGTGACCGCTGACGTCACCACCTGGAGCCTCTGCGCTTTCTGTGACCACTGACGTCACCACCTGGAGCCTCTGCGCTCTCTGTGACCGCTGACGTCACCACCTGGAGCCTCTGCGCTTTCTGTGACCACTGACGTCACCACCTGGAGCCTCTGCGCTCACTGTGACCACTGCCGTCACCAGGCTGTGTGTCGGCCGTCAGGTGTTCCTGGCCGGCGCCTCTGGCGGTGTGTACGCCATTCTGGCGGCGCACCTGGCGGACCTCATCATGAACTGGGCCGAGATGGAGCTGGCCATCTTGCGCCTGATTTTCCTGCTGGTGCTGGTCAGCACCGATGTGGGCGTGGCCGTTTACGGCCGCTACAGCGGCGCCCCGGAGAGTACGGTCAGTGCTCGGCTGATGCTGGTCACATCTGCGACCTGTCTTCAGTGAATGGCTGTGGACTGATGCGCCGTCATATGAGGGTGCTGCCAGATGTTATTCGACTCCCGCAGCCCAGCCCCTTAACCTGAGTGAGCTGAGGCGACCTGAGTTTGCCTGAGCAGAGCTAACCTGACGGCAAATCGGACGTGACCTTAACGTTCTGACCTGCACCGAGCTTACATTACCTAATCCGACCTGAGCTGGTCTGACCTCGATCTGATCTGACCTGATCAGCTCCGAGCTGATTTGCTGTTAGTTAGGCTAGCCAGCAGCGTCCCGAACCAACCTAAGATATCATGAGCTGACCGGACCTGACCTGGCTTGACCTGTCGCAGGTGAGCTACACGGCGCACTTGGCTGGCGCGCTGGCTGGCGTTCTGATCGGCAACGTTGTGCTGCGGAACCTGCGAGTGCACCGCTGGGAGCGGGTCGTCTGGTGGGCCTCGCTGGTCGCGTTTCTGGCGCTGGTGCTCTGCGCCGTGGTGGTCAACGTGGCCGCGCCTGATGGCTTCTACCCGGAGCAGGAGATCTAGCTCGGCGGCCGGCCGGCGCCCCAGTCTCTGCCGGGCTGGCCGCTTCGAGTGTCATCAGCGGTGGGCGAGCGGTTTCCGGAGGAGGAAAGTCAACCTGTCCGAGCCTTTCCCAAACAAAGGGTACAATGAAATCGGGTCCGAGACTTTTCTCGCGTGTAAATGCTCGATATAACAAGTATTAGCAGGTGGGTTTCTTAACGTTTACACTTGTGCTTGGATCCCAGAAACGGCCCATATTTGAGGGTTTAGCTCCGAGTTCCAGACCTTTTAGGATCCCAGATCCATTTTAAAATGTGGTTTTAATTGTGTGATTTAAATCAAATTGCAAAAATCCTGGATCCATCAACTTATGACAAAAATCCTGGAAGCTAGCATAGAATCATGCTAAGTGGTTGCTCTGGGCGCTCGTGGAGCGCAGTCGAGCCACGTATCTTTAGCTTCAATTGTCACAAGTAATTTAATGCGGAGACGGAGCGCGTGGCTAAAACGCATGCTGGATGTCGGCATGCAGTGCACTGTTGTTAGCTTACGACATCAGTCCTGAAGGCTCGGCTCAAATAAGCTGTCCCGAACGCGACACATCGCTACGTGGTGTGTGATGTCCGAAGAAGGGCAAATTTTTATTGGTAACCGAGTGGTCCTGTAGGATTCTCCCGGACCAATTGTTACCTACGAGTCCGGATCCAATGATAAGTATGTTGGTGAACAGCCCTATGCGTAAGATGTCATCAGGATGCGTGACTCTTGATTTGGAAAGGTCTAGAATGTTTTCCAAACTGTATTGAGAGGAGATGTTTTCGGGGCCGAGCACAATCCGAAACTTTTGCTGTGGGATATTCCAGGATCCAAGATCGCTTATCAAATTTTTTGTTGCGTCCGGAATCTACTTTTTCAAGCCATAGACTTCTATGTTGGGCTCATCCCGAACGGTCACCATTATTGTATCGTGGTGGCCGTCTGTGGCGGCGCGTGGCTAATGGAACTCGTGCCGGGTTGGGTCCCGGAGGCTTCGGCGATCCAGTCGAGCCACATATCGCCAGTCTTATTCGTGACAAATCGCTTTATACGGAGGCAGCTTGCCTGGCCAGGAGGCGCGCTACATGTCGACAGACAGTGCACTGCTGTCAGCGGACACTGCACCGCCGTTGGCAGACAGGGTGCTGCTGTTTCCAGGCAGCCTGTACCTCCACTGGCAGACCGTGTGCTGCCAGCCCCAGAGGGTGTTGTTCCCAGACCTTGCGCGACCGTCCGCAGGCGGCACGCGGCCGTGCCGGGGCGCTTGGTGCACGCCGTCGGTTAGCGGAGCGCGCTGCGCGTGCACATGCTTCAGACGTCTCTGCGTCAGATTCGCCGCGACACGGATCCATAAAGAGCGCATGCGATTGCGGGCGGTTATATGTATGAAATGTTACTGAGGCCTTTTTAAACTTTATCGGAGACTGATGTACCCTGTGTGTATGAGGCGTGTAGAGACGCTGTCCTGCTGTGTTCTATGATGCGCACTATTCCTCTCTTCAGTTGTGTGTGCTTGTTGTGTTTCTGGAATTAGCTGGATAACAAAGGCAAAATGGATTTCGCAAGCCCAATGCTCACCACGACGCCAAGCTTGCGCCGAGGCCAGAGGGCCAGCCGTGCTGCGTGTTTGTTATTCGTCATGTTATGAACGGGCTAGGTCGTGGCGTGCTCGCTGTTTGGGCAGATGTGTCGCGTCCCGTTTAGCTGGAGGTTGGAAGCGAGCACAACGTATGGTTGTACAACTGCTATGGTCGTCGAGGCGTGCATTGGAGCTTGCCTTCCGCTCTGTGACTTCCGTGCCCACACCCGTGATGTTGGAGCTTTCACAGCCTTCTTCGGATCACTGTGACTGTTCAGCTCAGGCATTTGCTACGTTCGTTCGCCGTTTTGTCGTGTGCTGATTTACGGAGCTTCATGCGAATATGGCAGTCATCTTATTTAATCATCGTATGCTGTCGAATCTGAACGCAATTTTTACTAGCCTGGGTAGGCCCAAGCAGCGTGACGTGGCCATATGTGGCTCCTCATCACTGACGCGAATGCCACGTTGGGCACGATCGACAGTGGCCCTCCGATTGCTGGGAGGCTTACTGTGCAGTGCAGGACGGACCAGCATTTTGTAAGGCTGGACCATTTTATACCGTATTTTTACCACTATGTGTTGCCTTGTTCGCTCGTGTCGCATTGCATCCGTGTTTGCATTCGTACAGCTTGTGCCTTGACGGTAGCATCGCACATTGTCGCGGGTATTCAAATGATTGGCTCTGAGTTGCTCGTTCGCAAAGGTGGCAATGGTGATGCGTGACACACTATCTGGTGGATGGCGTCTGTCGAACTCTCGCCGTTCGTGGTCGTTGTTGGGGGGGGGGGGGGTCACGTCACATGTCTTGGCCTATGGCTGTTTATGCCTCTAAAGCGTTGTGAAGTTGATCCGACATGCATTATATGTATATATATATATATATATATATATATATATATATATATATATATATACCTGTGGCGTTTTGCTCGCAATATATATATATATATATATATACATATATTGCGAGCAAAACAGGAACCGGTCAGACCTCCTGCTGACCAGTTGACTGCTTGACACGATATGAGCGAACATATGCCTGATGTCCCGAATGCAAATCCTGGATTGCATGGCAACTGGCAATGAAGCGGTCCATGGGTGTAGTTTCCTATTCGAATAGGGGCTGTGACACCTGGCAACCACCGCCCCCCCCCCCCCGCAACTTCGGCTCCAGCCCCCATAGCTTTGTGGGAAAAGTCTGCCAAAGTCGGTGACTTGTTGGCAAGTTTAGCGGGTATGTTTCCAAAAATTTCAAGGTTCTGCCCCTTCCCCTTTCCAACGCGCTGCAAAACTACGCCCTTAACGCGATCGAACTCCTGATTTTTTGCTCTGGTCTCAGGCCTAGGCAGATAGCGGACTGTGGATGCACTTGAATTTGCTTTGATGAAATAAATATGCCTCAGCGTTTCTCTGTTCATAGGCGTGGCTTAATGGGATGTATGGCGTAAAACATAGTGACCTGTGGCGTTTGGTAAACACTTCTTGGAAAATACTGATGCTGGATGGAAGGGCTCCATGCCCCCGATTTGTCGGAACGCACCCGCAGGGTGGATACTGCAGCTAAATCGGAATGGTTACGTGCTTCTAAAATGACTCTTCTCCTCCACATTTGTACACGTTCTTTCATCGCGCCGGCGAACGCTCGCCGGTAAATGAACGACCCTCGTGGCAGACCGGCGCATTTCGGTCTGCTGGGGTACGTGCGTTCGGGTGGTCGTTGAGCTTCAAATTATGCAGAAATAATGGGATGTGTTTGCGCAAAGGAAGTTGTGAGCATAGGTGACAAGAGGTACATCATCCGGGATAAGATTGGCGAAGGGTAAGCGCTATGAAGTGTTGACAACAGGAGTGTAGTTTCACATTTCATTCACATTCATCATTCTTGAGGCATAACATATAATAAATAATTGTAAAACAACTTCAAGATTTTCACATTCTTGCCTCTAGTTCAAACTGAGATGCACAACATGTCTTCTGAGTAGATAGCACCTCAGCATGCACTGAAGCTGAGTGATTTCAACCTGGTGGTGCAAACATCATCTATGGATGATATTTAATTTGGGCTTTGTTTCAGTGAGTGGTAAATATGTCTGATACCTAAGAATGGTGCAAATACTGTGATAGAAAAACTTTCCACATGCTCTGGTGTTGGAACTAATGTTTGTTGTAACACCACATCACAGAAATGTGCAAAAGGAAAATGTCCTTGAGGCCATAGATATCACCAGTGTTTTATGGTTTCAGGGGATTCAGCATTGTCCAGCTGGTAGAAGATGCAATCAGCCACAAGCTTTATGCCCTTAAAATCTGACCTGTCATAGCAAGAATGATCTTAAGGTATGACTTGGATATTTATATTTGATAAGACCAACACATTGGATGTAATGCATTGGTACATCATAGGCTAGCTTGAGGCCTATGTCTGAAGATTTGCCTAAGTCATTGTTAAAAGAGTTATTAACATACTGTCAAGATGCTAATGCAACCATTGCATCCTTCTTACAGCAGCACACACTTAAAGGTATGCATGGCTGAGTTCATCAAAATCTTTAATGTTTTTTTCAGTTTTGTCCTTTTACAGACACAATTCATTCAGATAATGTGACCCTGACATCATGTTGAGTGCACTACATTGAACATGTCAGCTTTCACAGTTGTTGGTCTGTTGCAATGACAATGACAGAGATGCTCTGCCCAGGTGGCCCTGCAGGAGGTGGCCTTCCACAAACAGCTTCACCACCCCAACATCCTGGAATGTTTGGGGTCAGAGGTGACTGGGGAGCCAGACTTGGCCTCAAACCAGACTGGCCAAGTGATGCTACTGTTACCCTATCTACCGGTCAGTCAAACTGTACATATTGACATAGGCCTGCAAGCCATGCCTTCCATATAGTGTCACAGTCATCTGCCTGCCAAGCATCTTTCACAAGTCAAAAATATGCATTTGGTTGTGAATATTCTTTGCCTTAACATATTCATATGAAGCTCATAAGTCATCAAGGAATGTCACTGCCGCTTCTCACCACTGAGTGTCCAGATGTCGTGTGTTTTTATGGCCGAGCATGTCAGCTGTCCAAACTGTGGACACATTCATATTGTGACACTCCGGTTGGCTCTGTGCATTCTCAGGGAGGCACGCTGCATGACGAGCTATCGGTGCGCGCCGCCGAGCGGCGCCACCTGCCTGAGTCAGAGGTGGTGCGCCTGTTCGCTGCTGTCTGCGAGGGGGTGCGAGCCATGCACGAGTCGCGCCCGGCGCTGGCGCACCGCGACCTCAAGACGGCCAACGTGCTGCTGTCCACAGACGGTTCTCCCGTGATCATGGATCTCGGTGGGTGACGTGTCTATGAACGTGTCCCTGTTCGTTTCATTGTAAAATTGGCCATGTCGGTGGGAGGCTAGCTTAAAAGTTGCCGAGGCCAGAGAGATTGTGCCCTTCAGGTAGTGTGCGGTAACGGCGCGAAAGATGCGAATTTAGAGCTGTATCAGTGGTCATGATTAAGTGTGTTCACCAGGTACAACATCTTCACTAATTGTAGACACTGCTCAGTGTTGAGTTTGAGTGTTCCACCATGTGTCAGGCCCTAGACATATCCAGATCGCAAACGCGTCCGCTGCACTGCCTCGCCCGTCGCTGCTGGTCATCTCAGTACCTCCTGCCGTGGCATGGCGACTCGGCTGTGAGGGGGTGGGACCGCCGCCCGCAGGCTCGATGGCCGAGGCGCGGGTTACGGCCGAGACGGGCGCTGTGGCGCGCCACCTGCAGGACCTGTGCGCCGAGCGTTGCAGCATGCCATACCGGGCGCCCGAGCTGTTCAACATACAGGCCGGCCACACGCTGGACGAGCGGACCGACATCTGGGTAAGTGTGGCCGCCGGCCGCGCCCGGTCCGGTGCGCTCTGTCCGCAGAATATGCTAGATGTCATGTTTGGAGGTCAGTGCTTGTTCGTCCTCAGACGCCAGGGCGAGCAGTCGCGGCCCCCGAGCAGTCAGAATGCTCCTGACGCTGGCCATGTGCGTGTGCTCCGGCCTGTCGCGGCGTGCCGTGTTAGGTCGCTGTGTTGCCTCGCTTCCCTGCGTGTGATACTTTGCGTCGATGCTGGCGCTGGTTTCCACCCCAGCTGAGTGGGGAAGTGGGCGCGCGACGCCAGATGGACACTGCCGTGGCGTAACGCACGGGTGAGCCGTCACCGCGCTGCCGCGTGGACTTTGAATGCGTTAGTGCACGCGTCACCCCACGTTGTTGACCTGCTGCTCGTGCCGGCCGCCGCCACCTGACCGGACGCGGCGCGTGCCGCAGAGCCTGGGCTGCGTGCTGTACGCGCTGTGCTTCTTCAAGTCACCGTTCGAGGCGGCGCACGAGCGCGGCGACAGCGTGGCGCTGGCCGTGCTGGCCGGCACCGTGCACGTACCGGACGACTCGCCCTACTCCCAGGTACGGGCCACGCGCCGCTCGGACAACAGGACGCTCGGCGCCGGCGACCGAAGTCCGGTACGCTGCCCCCACTTCCTCTCTCCGCACTCACACCCAGACTGTTAGACGTGCCGTTGTAGGCACGTTATGAGAGGCGTTCAGGAGGCTCGGAGAGATAATGTGGATGAAGCGAGCTGTGAGGCGGAGAGCGTTGATGTGTCGGGAAGGACCTGATGGTCGGGTGGTCGCCGGCGCCCAGTGAATGTAGTAAATGGTCTGAGCACTTCCGCGGTATACCGGCCAGCCTGGTGTCATGTCGACCTTGCCTCCTGCGTGTGGACCCGCCTTTCGCGTGCTGACCCTGTCCGTCGTGTGCCGGCCTTGTGCTTTACGTCAGGGTGATTATTATGGCGTGCTGACCTTGTCCATTACGCTCTGACCTTGTGTAGCGTGTACTGGGCTAGTCCCTGGCATGATGACCTTGTCAGTGACTTGATCTCGCCTGCGGTCTCAGGACCTGATGGACCTGATCCGACGCCTGCTGACCGTGTCGGCCGCCGACCGACCCTTCATTGGCGAGGTTCTGGACGCGGTGAAGGCGCTGGCCGCTAGAGGCGACATGGGCGGCGACGGCGCCATCCACACACCCCAGCCGCTGGTCACGTGACCTCCGGGTCCGCCACGTCCCAGTCACGTGATCTTCAGATATGTCGGCTGACCTCCGTGGACTGAACGGCGGCTGGTCAGGGTTGAGCAGCACCGAATGACGAGACGCCAGCGACCGCCGGCTCTGCGGCCTCCGGGGCCGGGCGTCGGTCATGTCAGTGGCCGAGGTCAGCCAGCCGCCCCTCACGTGGCGGACGTCACTCAGGCGCCAGGGCGCTCCGTCAGCCGCCGACCAAGTAATCCATGCTTGGTGGGCGTTGCCCGCTGGTTCCGCGACCAACTGACCTCCGGCAGCTGCCAGTCAGGTGGCACAGACCGCTGCCAGCCACCGCTGGTTGCGTTTTCGTGGTATTTTGCGTCCAGGGTCACCGCGCTCCACCATAACAAATCGGATCGCGTTTGCCACGTGTATACCATTTGCTTGGAATGCGCCACCAAGCCACGCACATTCCGGTGGTTGTAAAGCGCATGAGTTGTTCTGCGCAACACCAAAGTTTTACGAATTCTTGTAGGTTGTTCCGCACCTTTTGTGGATAGACTGTCTCGCAGCCAGCCCAGTTTCTGCCCGGGGGTGCTCTCGTACCGCAATAAGAACCTCTGCGGCACTACCTACCACTGTTCGCCTCGCTGTGGCGCCTGATACGAGTGGAGATGGTCCCAGACTGTTGCGCGTGTCACGCGCTAGTAACATACCGATGCGAAGCTTGACTGATGTCTGTGTGCCCCGCGGACAGTGCGGTTGTTCTGTCAGTCTGTCGCCGCTCTCGCTACTGATCTCGGCGGCAGTTGGTTCTTGTTTCCATGGCGCGAGGTGACGAGCATGTGCATCGCGCTGCAGTTCTTTCGATAGGACGTCGTGAGGCGTCTGAACCGCGGCATGGTGCCGCACAGTCGCTAGAGCTAGGGCGTTGGTTTATCTGCCTTGTAAATCACGAGATTATTTGCCGGTGTGTGTTGCCAGGGCGTGTTACCGGAAGAGACTGGTCGCAACGGCCAGTAGGACTGTGTGTCTCGAGGTAGACGGCCTATACAGGCCTACGGCGTACATCTGATGACTTGGCCTTAAGTGCAGCAGGAACGCACGCTGGGGTGCTTGGGTTTCCATCCAGCCTCCACTTTATCCTTGTGTCAACGTTGGATCCACAGACTGCGACATGCTAATGTAATACAGTGGATGCCGTGCCAGCATTAGCATTTCCAACCCAAGCGGCGCGTTTATGAGCATGAAAAAGTCCCTCGCAATGTTTGGTGAGTGAACACACACTCCATGTTTCGAAGGCGCGTATGGTGCCAAGCCCTGAACAGGCAAAGCACAGCAAGTATCACGTTCGGACCCCATCGCAACCTCACATTAGCCCCCTCTTAACTGATAGATTTACACGTTATAAACCCAAATAAATTCGCTTTACATCACAATAATACACAATGTCCGAAAGAAAGCACAAACTAAAAATTACATACGCACGTGACAAAACGTTCAGTCTCTCCGATGACGATAATGATTACTGGAGTTTTAGGGCGCATCGACGCCGAGGTCATTTTGCGCCTACAATCTATCTCCGAGCATACTGCGAGCATTCAAAACAATATCATTGTTTACAAAGATGCTCGCTTTGAAAGTGCCAGGCCAGCACGTGCGCCACCAAAAAATGCCACCGCATTACAGCTGTGTGACACGCTGAGCTGCCGCACATGACCACGCCTGGGCACGAGACGGTTTTCTGGCGGAAGAGATCCGTACGTCCAGATGCCGTCGGCCGTTACAGCCATCACCACTGAGGCGAACATTGGTCCCATCCTCCGGCGAGATAATTTGCCACTTTTTATCCTGAGCATGACGGCAGCGACGGAAGGCCACGGCGCCGCCCGTGGCCGCGAGCGCCCGGGCTGCTCACAGGTACACCCGCAGAGCGTCGGCGATGGGCGTGCGGCACATGGGGCAGCGGCGGTCACTGCCGGCCACGGCGCGCGCGCACTGCTCGCACAGGCAGACGTGTCGGCACGGCAGCAGGATCACCGACCTCTCCTGGTCCTGGCAGACGACACACAGCCGCGGCTCGGGCTCCGGCGGGCGGCGGCCGGCTATCTTGGAGCGCAGTCGGCGCGGGCTCGGCGGCCGCTCCGGCTCCGACTCCGGCTCCGCTCGGTGCCGAGCGCCGCGTCGGCCGGTCGCCGCTCCCAGCCGCAGCCCCAGCGCCACATTCCGCACGAAGGTGCGCACGCAGCGGCACGCGATGTCTGCGGCCGCCAACAGGACGGCGCCGGCCAGCCAGAGGGGCGCCGCGACCGCCCGCACGTCACGCGACACGCGCCGGGCCACCGCGCTCAGCCGGGCGGCGGCCGGTTGCCGCCGCCGGCCCAGCCAGCGCACGGTCAGCGCCGTCGCCCGCCTCACGTCCTGGGCCAGTGCCACCGGCAGCGCGTCCAGACGCGGCACTGGTATCGCGTGGTCAGAGATGTGTTTCGCCAGGCGCTTGGCCGCGTACAGCGCCAGGAGGACGAACGCGGCGCCTACCACAGCCGATGGCGGAATGCTTCGGATCTCATCCACCATGCTCATCGCTGTCCGACACACAAAATTCACGGCGGCGTCGCACGCCGATACGCAACTGAACAGCACGGCTTTCAAAAGCTCGTCCAGCCGCACAAAGCAATACATCACGGTATAGACGATGCCGTAAGGCACCATGGTCAGGAGGTAGATCACCGTCTCGTACATGAACACGACACTGCGGCCGGCGGTGGCCGCGAAGCTGACGACCCCTTCACCGCCGGCCACCACGGTGCCCAGCGCAGCCCTGCCGAGCGCGAGTGTGGCAGCGACGGCGCCTCCGACGGCCGCCGCCAGCGCTTGCAGGCCGCGGCCGGTCGCCAGCAGCGCCTCAGCAGCGGCCGCGCCTGCCAGCTCGAGCAGCCAGGCCAGTGCGTCTCCCACGTCACCGAGGAAGGCAGCGCCGTCGGCGGCCAGGATAGCGAGAGCGGCGGCAGCGCGGTCCAGCAGCAGCAGCAGCGCGCCGACCACCGCCGAGAGCGCCGCAACCAGACGCGACGCCAGCGCGTAGTTCAGCTGCAGCACGAGCGACACGGCCGCCGCCACCGTGTCCACGGCGCCCGCCAGCTCACGGCAGCCCGCCGTCGCCGCCGCCAGCAGCGACATCTGCTGGACAGAAATTATGATGTTGCCGAAGTATTTTCAGGCAAAAATACTGCAGCACATTTTTAAGCATTATTATTTCGAAAATTCACCACAACTTGGCCTGGTCTGAGTTTAGCATGTGTATGTCCCAAGTACAGAACACTATAACATAAGCATCAAAGCAGTGGATTTTGTTTTGCAGACTAGGCTAAAAGTCAGTCAAACTGCATCTTTCCATCCAGTTGTAGAAAAGAAACTGAAAGGTGGAAACCACCACAAAATGTCAGTAATATGAACCAAATGGGTGAGAATATGCCTTATGCTACAGTAAAAATATGTTTGCTTCTAGTTACTCAAACATCCTCTGCAACTAATACAACTATTAGATTCCTGGCAGTAACAGGGCAGAGCATAGTTATCACAGAATGATGTTCTGTAGAACTTTGAGATACTAAGGTAGGTGTAATATCTGCTCCTTAATATCTACAAAGCAACTTAAAATGATGTGTATGGTAGAACCATGATGTAGCAATCTAATCTATGATGTTGCACTACACATCAATGAGACAGGGATGGGTTGCAGGGCTATCAGGTGGAGAGTGACAAGTATAATAATAAGTGGCAGTGGGAAAGAGTTGGGGCAAGGGTTAGGTTTGGTTAGGTTAGGTTACAAGCTTATTTGCATGCAATACTGGAGCTGGAAAGATTACAGAGCTACCTCTATAGAGCATGCTTAGATATCATATTTAGCTGTTATGTTGACCAATCAGCATTCAGTAACCACAAGCTCAACCTTGAAAGGTAGAAGCTGGCTTTGACCAGTCAGGATAGCTTTGATGTGTGTATTGTGCAATCCATGTTGTAGACCAAAGTCTGCCATAATTATAATGATTATCAAGTTTTTCAGGTACGATAAGTCATAAAATTTCCCTATTTTATGATTAATCACGGTCTTTTCTGGGTAAAAAACATGATTTATCTAGTTATTTATAAAGTAAGGAACAAAGTTCCACATTACTGGTTGCACCTGCATGTCATGACTAGCAGATGTGTATTCAAACTACTTTGAAGAATGTCCATAGATGGCTCTGCCCAGTTCATATAGATATGGTTGTGCCATTAACGTTAGCCGCTGGACGCCAATTTATTTTCGCACACCTTAGACAAGGGAATTAGCTGATTTTGTCCACCTTCTCCTGCGTCTTTTGTGCCGCGCCATCCTCAGCATGTGTTACTCGAACTTAACGGCTGAGCTATCATGTTCGAGAAACTCTGAGTCTCATAATACCACTTTCGCCGACCGATACGCTGAGTAGTCGCGTAATCCATGCTATTCACCTTACCTTGGATTCAAAACACCCGAGTGAAGTTTCGGAATTTTTTAGGAGACCACGCTTGTGCCTTTTCCTTGATCATCTTGGCTCATCATCGAGATGCGCGAGCTCGTTACGCAAATACCAACCGGCACTCCAACACGCCCGCCCCCCAGCCCCACGATTATCACCGTGCTCCTGCGTGTTCGGAGCATTTTACACCTTGCGAATAAGTTTGAACATGCTGACAAGGATGGGTATTTATCAGCTGATTGCATTGTGATCCGCTAGAACCTCTAAAATACAAGTTAATAATTTGTTAATATGCACTCATATTAACAAGTATGTTTACGTATATTAGTTATATAACAACATCAATATATATATATATATATATATATATATATATATATATATACATGCAAATGTCCTTTTAATCTTTAAAACCAGATTAAAGATTATTTGGTGCAGCTTACAGTCCATGCGTCTTAGGGGAAACGTCGCAAGGTTGAAAGCATTAAGGCAAGCAGCAGATGTGATGAAATTAGCTCACTGTTCACTGTTTAATGCGTCTGATATTCTGAAAACGCAGTCTGAATCAATTATGAGTACAAACCATGCACGTAGTTTTGACATGCGTGATCAAAAATCTCAAAAACAAAAATCCCGACTCAGGGAGTTGCGGTCTCCGTAGGCTGCACAGCGGCAGCCTCGCGGGTAACACTGAGTTGCGGCCAATGGGTGGATGAAAATAATGATGCATCCGAACGAGTACCTTTGAACGGCTTAGGACTTCGAATTGTACCTTTTGAAGGTAGTTCGGGTGTATATTCCACCGGCGCGATTTTTAGATTACTGTTAATAACGGATTGACATTTACGGCGGCGCGAAGTGGCACTGGCTTTAATCTGGTGATGGAACTGCAGGGGTAGAAAAGGAACGAACTAAATTTGAAAACTTTCGAAGCGATTATTTCACGACGGTTGTTCTCGCACGGGGCGCGCAGTGTTACTTCCAATGGCCAACGCCGTTCAGTGTGCGGAAACTGCAACCCAAGCCATTGTCGTCCTTGCTCCAGATATTTCGGGCGCGCAGGCTCAAACCTTTTAATGTAACTTATTTCACTAACTGATTAGTCTGCAAAATAATGAACATTCTAAGGCAAGCATGGGACGGCCTGGTTCGTTTTGAACTAATTTCGGCCCGCTTATTCAACACTAAGGATACCTCTCACTTATTTTCGGGCAAGAGGGCCTCTGTTGTTTATTGGTGTTTTCGGGTGCGCCGACTGCATTGGTCATTTGGCACCCACACTGTTCTCGGTCAGGAGCTGAAAGGCCATTCCGTTCCACCGCGGGGCGTCTACCGGCTGCAATTCTGGCAACGCGGAGCGGGATCCCCTGGTCAATCTGGATGCCCTTAAAGGGATAAATGATATCGTATTGGTCCTTTTCTGACGCTGAAGGCCTTCTGACCCGCGCATTTGTTCCTGGTTCGACACAGGAAGCCTCACTCACGCAACAACGTCTCTGATCGCGGCAGGTGACTCAATAATTGACGCATAACCTCAACATAAACAACAGTCCTCATGTTGGCGTTGGAATGCAGGGTTCACCGTTCGATACTGGAGCCCTGACTGATACCTACCATTGAAGACTCTTCCATTGCCTCAGTGTGAAAACTCATCATGAGTTCTCATGTCTCTTCTCACTGTCAGAGGGCCCCAACAAACGCAAGATTCGTGGCGCTTCTTGGGCGTTCGTGGTCCCGTCCCCGTCCTTATTCAGCAAATATTCTCCTGGCCAATTCGAGGGCCCTTGTTGACACAGGCCACCCTGTTAGTCACTCTGAGCCACTGACAGAAACACGAGTCCCGCATTTTTTTCAGGGGTCTCGACTGATGTAAACCGCTTGCGCGGCCTTGCCCCTGCTTGAGAATTGGGCCCCCAGACCTCAGACTGACACGGAGCCGATTGTTCGGCATTGGTGATCTCCGACCGAAAAAGCGGAACGCTCTGTCTCAGGGGCCCCCAATCGGTGCAAGAGGTCCTCTATCTGATATTTGAGATCACGTCGCCGGCGGACGGGGGTCCTTAATGTGACCTAGAGCCGGCCCTTGGACCACTGCAGCCTTCCAATCGAGCCCTCAATCTTTTTGTCTTCGAAAGACCTTTCGACCTCTCTTTGGGCCCCTCAAACACCGCTCCTGGTCGACTAGGGCTCACTCAACCCTACAGGAGTCCTGTTAGGCACTGTGGGCTCCTGACCGACACAGGGGTCTCCACCATTGTTCTAGGGACCCAGACCAATGCAAATCGTGGCCCCGGTCTTGTTCCTGTTTGGGAAATGGACCCCCAGGGTTTAGACTGACAGGGAGCCACCGGTTCGGTGTTGGTAGTCTCTGGCAGACTTAGACACCCGCAATGGCCCTGCGGTTCCTCAAACGGTACAGGAGGCCCTCTGACTAATATTTCAGGTCAGGACCCTACGAGCCGCGATTCTTTCTGTGGAAATCAGCAGGCCCCTCGGGCCCTTATGCTCTCCAATCAGGGTCTTGGTCGTCGGTTTCGGTGGGCCGCCCGGCCCGCTCTACAGGCCTCACTGAACACTGTTCTTGGTCGGCTCGGGCCCCTTGCGGGATTGCGGGATCTGTTAGGGATTGCGGGCCCTTGACAGATACATGGCCTTCGACCGGTGTGAATCGCTGGCTCCAGCTTTGTAGCTGAAGTGTAACTGGACAGAACTTTGCCAGCGGTAAGCTGAGCTAACTTGCAGCAGAAATAGTAATGAAGTCTGAGCGGTCCCAGGTGGGGCCAGAATGGCCACCGACAGTCAGAATATGGCATGGCTATGGGACTGCCCCGTAACCGCATGGGGATTGGGGCTCACCAGCGATCAGCTTTTTGAGTCACTGCCCAAGGTTTTTAAATTGATCCATATTTTTCTGTGTCTACCAGCAGACATGTGCCTTGATCCTATGGGCTGATTCAGGATCACGCAGTAGTCTATGGTTATGGGATCATGGGGTCGGATCCAGCAGTCGTTTTAACGGCTTCAGTCACATGTTTGCCTATCTTATGATCAATTAAACTCGTTCCGACGAGAAATCTTTAAATCATTACTTGCACAATGAACGAACTGGAATTGCGAAAAAAACGTAGGTCAAGCCATGTGCGTTGAGTTATTTTACAGCCAGTAATTCCCTTGTTCTTCACTTGTCTAGCTGTCTGGTATCGTTCATTACCTGATCTCAATGTAGCGATTGGGGGCCCAATCGTCCATACGAGGCCACGTCATAATGCCGGGAGGGCGTACCCACCCGGAATGGACGAAGTTATCTAGAACTTAATCGCAGGTCTTCTTGTATAAATGAGCATATCTTACTACAATCCAATAAACCTAATCTATCGATCAAGATGCACGCATTTGTTCCGGTAGTCGTTTGTTGCGACAGTCATTTGTCGCGATAGTCATTTGTCCTGGTAGTCACTTGTCCTGGTAGTCATTTGTCCTGGTAGTCGTTTACCCCAGTATCTGTGTCGTCATTGCACAGCAGAAGACTTCGATTTGATGTTGTTGATATTGGACGTTGTCGTTTTTCGTTTGATATCGCGATATCAAGTTTTTCATTTCATTGTCGACGATTTTGTTGGATAGTCATTATTTATCAGAAGTTGTTCGATGCTTTGCAGTTCACCGTTTTTAGCAGAGTCCTATCAGAGCAAAGTTTGAAGGCTTTTCGGAGGTAGGAACGCACATTTCTGGTCTAGCGCAGTTCTAGGCAATCGTTTGTGGCTCTGAGTGGCCTCTGAGCATCTGATAGCTATTTGTAACTTTGCTACACTGTTTGTAGATCAGCTGTGATGTCAATGCCAAATTTGGTGATCTATATCTCGTGACCTATGCGACCCAGCAAACTAACAGCATCATGGACGTAACATGGCATTTAGAAAAAACCTTTGTACCAAATGATCGCGGCCGGACAGGCTATGATAAAGATGCCAAGGTGAGCCCGACAGTTCATCCGGTGGTGAGCTGTTGTGGAATTGCCCTCTAATTTGTAGTAATCGCTCTTCAAATGATAATTACCCGCATCGCGCGCGATAATAAGTATTTTTACCGAGCGCCGCATGCTGGCCATCGACCGATGTGCCGTTAGACCGCAGTTACTAATGGTTTGTAAGGGATGATTTGAGGAGAAAAAGATCAGGTATGCCGATGAGCAATTTACATTGCCGGCCGATAGTGCTCCTATTGGCCTCCAAGGATATCGTGCACGCGTTCAACCTCACAACCCTCCGCGTGCAACTTAACGTATTTCAGCCCATTGTTTGCCCTCTCCTTCTGTGTCTTTGGGTCTTGGATGGGTGTTCCTGCATTGCAACGACCTTTGTGCGTTTCGTGGGTGTTAGTTGCATCGTGAACAACGGGTAAGCCACATCTGTTGCAATGGCGGCCGATGAAACAATTGGACGGCAAAACTACGGCGGAACGAGAAGTCATGCGACCCCGTCCTTAGATTTTCTGGGGATATCTTTCTGGCACTTCGTGTAACCTCGCAAAAGGTCTCAGTAGTCTTTGGATATTAATCACGCATGTTTTGAGACCAAAAGCACGTTCTAGTATTCCTGGCTAGCTAAGTAGCAACGCTTTCCAAGAACACGGCTATGTAAGTTCCGTGCTGATGTGCAGCATGGCTTGTTAAATATGTTCACGAAAATTTAAAATAGTCCGATTTTCAGGAAAATTTCCTGCTGCCCTAGCCTGGCGGGATCAACTATCAACCTAGCTACATTATAGCTGCAGCCACTCGCGAGATCAAGCCGAGGCTTGCGCGCTGCATGTTTTTCAGCGAACTATTAGATTGAAAATGACAAAGGGTCTTATCGAACCGCCCCTCCTACTGCAAGGATGTAACATGGAAAGGGGATGTTTTGAGTCTTCACGGAGGGTAGCAATGGGAAAATGCCCCTTTTACACAACGCATCTCAGGGATGTAGCTTCCTAATCAATTGGAGGGAGCGGGCTCCAGCCACCCCCAACATGGGCTCCACCAACTTTGAGAAGAAATTAGACTAAATGTGGAGAAAAGCCTGTTTGCTGGCGTATTTTCGGCCAGGTGTTTTCATTTTCCCACCACTAAGCCTCCTCTTCACTTCATTCTGCGAAACTGCGCCCCTGATGCATTGTTAACGCCAGCTGTGGTTGTAAATCATGCCAAACTTTTTCATAAAAGTCATGAATTTTCACAGGCTGGTACCATTGGGTTCTGCCGACGACAAGCAACACACTTATTTCGTTTCGCACCACTCGTTTAGTTAAGGGCCGAACGGGCAATATCTGTGTGAGATGTTATGCTTAGCACGACGTGGCCGTGGTCTTGCCATGGCAGCCATGGCTTCGCTGTGACCATCACTACAGCATGGCTTTGGTCTAGCCATGGCCTTGCAGCCTGGGGTCGATAAAACATAGCCAGCCTAGCCTGGCTTAGCCAAAGCATAATCAGCGGAACAGAGATAGGAAATGTCGAAACTTCATCTTGTACTCCATGAACTGTCTCCAACTGATGTGTTAGGATTTCGTTCAACGTGTTTTTGTTGTGATGGCTGATTTCTAATTATCCGTTGTATTTAATGATACAACATACTAGTACTTTTAACATACGGCCGGATGTTTGGTTGAATGTGACCTGCTCAGTTTGTTCCCCCTCCCCTGATATCTCCAAAAAGCTAGACACACCAGATTCACGGGTTAGGTGGGACTTTATTTTCCCTCACTTATGACAATTTTGAGGCCCCTACAGTGCTGCCTACGGGTCAAATAAGGTTAAAGAATACCAAATTCCAGATCAGTGTCCGAAATGTCATCAGGCCTGCTCACGCAACCAGCTTCAACCCAGATGCCTCCTACAAACAAGAGTTAATGGTGTTTATATCAGATCAAGGACTTTCCTTGACTATTAGAAGATGAAAATGACCAAGAATATGACATGATTTTGATATTTGAATTTATAAACGTTGTCCAATACTAACCCAATGCAGCATGCCTCAGAGAAAAGCTTGAACGCAGTCACTTATATCAGTGGCCTCTCTGATCTTTACTTAGTCAGAAAGGGATCTTTTGAATGGCCCGATACGTGGAAAATGCCACTTTATGCTTCATACATCCACTGCAAGGTCATGACGGGTGTATTATCAGTGCCATGGATACAACGGATAGCTGCACTTATAGAAGCAGCACAGACAGAACACAGGGCATGCTTTGATGTGACCAAGAACATGGCTCTATGCTCGAGTAGCCCAATATCGTCGCGGAAATTTGCTTCATACTCATCAGGATACAATCGTGAATGTTTTCTCTATCTTGCTGCATTGGCAAGTTGTTACGCCAGAATAATTGATAAAATACCCTTTCACACAAGCTTACGAGACGATTATTGGGGACATGGTTGATGGGCACACCATACCCTACTTTAGCATCCAGTTCTCATGAGTACATAATTCCACATTAGAGTCAATTGATCGACCCGCGACGACTCCGTTGGTGCAAACATAATCTCAAAATAGCAAATTGAGCGGACATGCGTTTCACACTTGATGGCCATTTCATTACCGGTGCTGAGACCAGAATGGGAAGCTCATATGACATAGGCATGTCCCTTAAATACGGTTTGTCTCACATTCCAGTGACATTTGCGTTCGGTCGCCTCCCGCCGCCCGTCGACCTGTGGAAGCTCTGTCTCCTGGTGCTATTGCTAGGCGGCGCTGCTGTGGCCTGATGCTCATTGCCAACATTCACTAGGCGACCGAGTGAGCTTTCACAGCGCCTTAGAGCCGCCGTAAACGCTCTGCACTTTGGAGGTGTACTGGCGGTGGTGCATGTCGTAGTTTCGGATGTTGGAGCGCACCGACTGCAGCATGGCGCTCAGGTCGGCCTCCTGGCGGGGGTAGCGCAGCGTCGCCGACTTGTGCGCCCGCTCCGCCCACGACTGTGCCTTGGGTGGCGGCATGTTATTGCGGTAGATGCCTGAAACGAAAATAATCGCATTAGGATGTCAATACACGGTAAGTACTCGCCGCGAGCCCATCGTGGACTCGTTATGATGAAGCAGGCTTGGTGTCTTGGAAAAACGTTGTATAACATCATAGACAGTCATGATGCAGATCATGCTATATATTCAAAGATCTAGAACATGACTAAGAGGTCACATACCTTTGTGTGAGACTCTCTTATTATGTCAGCACCTCCTTCCTTGCTAACACGAATGTGGAAGAGCTACTGGTCTCGACCATGAGCGCTTTAAAATCGAACATAAGTTTCGTGGTGAGATTGAACGCTTGAATGCAAAGACCTAAGAATATATATCTTGCCTTGGATGTAGATGTTGACGAAAATGACATCCTGTTGGATTAGTGGGTCCAAATAGACCGTCACCTGCAATGTTGGGTATATAGCTTGAGGTCTGCTCGCTGTATCTACCCCACCATGGTCCCACCGCGGTCCCGTTTCTTGTAAAAGCGCACCAGTCCGTCATCGGCCGCGGTTGGTCCATGGCCTGGACCCTCGCCAGAGCGCTGTGTGGAGCCGCCCTTGGTGCGGTCGGCAGGGGTCCGCGGCAGCACTCTCAGGAGGACAGCAGCGGGCTCGTGTTGCCAGTTTCGCCGCCGGCCGCCAGCTGCCAGCGCCGGCGGCCAACAATCCTGGCTATTCGGACCCGCCGCCGGCGACACGGCGACAGCGGACGGCGGCGACGGCCGCCCGATTTAGCCGCCGTTGTCTGCGGCCAAGCCGGCGCGCGGCGGATATAGCCGCAGCGTCCGGCCGTCCAGGCGACCCAGGACACCGCCATAATAGGAGTGGTGGCTGAGCCGCCTCCGCCGCACGACGGGGCAGCCGGGCTGCTTCTTGCTGAGAGGCTGACGGTTATTGGGAGGGAAGGGGACAGAGAAGGGGGAGTGAACGCGTCGCTGAACAGGTTTTATAAAGAAGAGCTCAAGCCACTTGGCGGCAATGGTGGCAGAGCCTCCGTAGAGATGGGGCAAACGCCTCTTTTGCTTCGTGTCTTTTTATGCACTGTCATGAGGTTAATGAAAAATTTGCCCGGAGATGGGGACAGCTGGCCCCTTGCCTCCAGTAATACACCACCACTGCTTGCTGTGTGATTCAATGGGCCAGTGAAGACATCAATTCGGTCGGTAATTCTCGGCGTCGGCGGTGACTAGAAACACAGCCGCGATGCCAAACTAAAGCCCACAAACACGGCTGTATGCAGATAAGACTGAGTCACCAGGGCTTTACGAACTTCGACGCCCGGACGATTTCTCAGTCAGCGCTCCTCACTCAAGTCACGTTCCAACCGAGAGGAATGCCGCAGCTCGTCTGCCGTTAATGAGAGCCGCCGTCGTCGCGGCCGAGAGCTCGGTGCCTCATCTGGCGCGACAGCGGTGTGTGCAGCCGTGCCAAGCCGTCTGCGGCCGGGACGGGTGCCGGCCGTCTCTCCCGCGCGCCACGCGTCGCCCGCTGCTATTGGCCGATTGGAGCTGGCGAGAGGCCGACACGCACTCTGGTGGTCGTCAGGGCGGCTGTCACGCGCCAGTATACTGTCGTCAGGGCAGCTGTCACGCGCCAGTATGCTGTCGCCAGCTCAAACGTTTGGCGTCTTTATCGGTAGTTGTAATCATCACAGTCCATAAGTGTCCTCAAATCGTCCGCGGGCTCAAGACCACCAGGAAGGCAACATATGAGAGTGACGGTTGTAGACGTGGGTTGGGGACTGGGGGATATTGCTTTGTTTGTTTTCTCTCTGCAACAACTTGGGCATTGGTTTGTTTCTCTGCATGTAATGCGGTATACCTGGTGCTTATCTTTCTCCAATCTACTGCCCCTTATTGGATCACAGAGTTCCCAAGTTTCCGTTTCCATCTGGCCTGAATTGTCAGCTTTGCTACCTGCGCTACCCCATTTCCTCCCAGTAGAAGAGTCCTTGGTAACTGCATAACTCACTGCCAGATTTGCTGTTAAGGTAGGCCATCATATTGCTGTAGTAGGTCTCGCCGTAGTCGAAGTTCATGCGGTACATTCTGGCCTTGGGCCGGTTCCAGAAGACCGGGTAGGGCGACTTCCTCTTCTCGATCTGCTGCGGCGGCTCGTCCAGTCCGTCACCCAGCGGTGGAGCTTCGCCGTTCACCAGAGCCTCGTTCAACGGCGCCTCTGCCGACACAGCCAATCAGAATGCTCAGCACAGATAAACCAATTAGAGCGCTCAGCACAGAAACAGAACCAATCAGGTCAATCGTTCAGTTTGGCGACAAAGCCGATCAGAGTGTTGGCCGTTTTTTTACGGTGCAACGGGCAGGCTCTATACTGTGGTGTCCACTCAGCGCTCCGTGTTGGAAGTTGCATCTGTCTGACGCTACATCCCTCCAATGCCGGATTTGCTGCTTCCGGGAGGGGAGAATACTCAGGGTAGACAGGCGATTGACCGGTAGATATACACCAACATATCTATGTGTGTCTGTGAACAGGCCGCCTCGGTAGTCGGTTGAAGGATTCTGGAGCCGGCTTCTGCGGTCACTAGGTTCGAATCCCAGCGCGGGCGGCGCATTATTTGGCCTGACTGGCATAGAATCGTCGGCTCACAGCCGACCAAGACCAGTCAGCCCAGGCCCAGGGCGACCGTGCCGTAGCACTGCGTTTACGCGGAGCCTTTCACAGCCCATTCTGGCGGAAAGGTAGAGGAAACATCTGTGGTTGACCTGAACAACGCAATTTGTGTGCCGGGTTCTGAGCACACTCCCCGAACTTTGTTCATTAAATACGCTTAACTCATTCGCAATCTTGCAAAATATCAGAATAGCTGAGGGATGTGTTGCAACTATCGGGGAATTTAAAGGTAATCTTCGACACAGAACACCTACCACATATGCGCTCAATCACGACACTTACAGACGCATGCGTGCACACACACACACACACACACACACACACACACACACACACACACACACACACACACACACACACACACACACACACACACACACACGCACACACACACACATATATATATATATATATATATATATATATATATATACATATACATGTACATATACAATTATGCCTACAATATTCATATATACGTAAAAACACCCTATAAGTCAACTTAACAACGGTGGTGCTGAGCTTATCTGTTGAAAACATTATTGCACTTGGATTTAAACACTTTACAGATATGTTCTGTATAGGCTGCATGCGAAGAACGTACCTATTTATTAAGTACATTCAAGGCACAGCATTACTCAAAACATGTAGAATGGAAAAGCAAAGTTGCACAGTCATACGTGCACATGCATGCAATGACAGTGCCTGCTACGCATAACTTCAGATTGCCCAAACTTTGCTCAAAACGAAGAACTAGATGCACCTGAGCCTAACGCTCAGTCTACTGCTTGTCGGTATGGTCTCTGCTCTTGCACTGAAGTCGGACTGCACGCATAGTTCACAGACGTTTTACTGCAGGAGATTATCACACAGTCTACTACCCTCGCGCAAATCATGCGTTACCTTCATCCTGCACCAGCTCGGGGTCAGGCTCTGAAAGTCGCCATAGATTATCAAAGATTGCCACTGAAACACGGACACTGGAGTTTTCGTCGTTTACGTTTCGCGTGCTGCGGCGATAGACAATGACCCTTCGGACCAAAGATCGTCTGCCCTCTCTACATCAACTGGGTCGACACCCCGACACCCACGGGTGTCGATTCGTATTCTTTTGTGAGGGCCCTGGCCACTCAATGTTGAGTTGGGCTCCCAAATGTTGACTTTGTCCCCAATGTTTTTGGCTGGAATGCTACAAAGAGGGGGTTAAAGATGATCATAACAAGAAGACTGTCTTCTTTTGATCTGTCTGCCGAGTGGCGTCTCGTGCCACTCTCATAACAGAAAGCCATGGCTGCTCTCACCACAAGATATAAGTCCTAGCATCTGAGCGGATAAACAATGGCAATAAACTGCGCATGCCTAGCCCCATAAGACACGCATTGGTTTGTGAGGTTTAAGTGAAAAGCTCTGGAATACGGGGATAACCTAAGTCCTTCATGGCTAACCCCGTCTCCGTCCCCCACTACCAAAACGCGTGTCGCCTCCCATGACCGCCATAGAAGAGCGCCATCGGCGCCCTAAGGTGGCATCTAAAGGAGCGCCTTCACGTGTCGATCTGAAGAGACGCGTGCGTCCAGTGCCTGTTCCCTGGATCCAACCCTACATGACTTCAACACTCCTTAGATCAAGGACTTATAAATTATACAGAGCGTAACTTATAAAAGCACTTTATTGCGTTTTATCAAAATAAAGTGGGCTAAATCCGGTGAGAACAATGGGGGTGGGTGGGTAAGTTGTCGGGCTTTTGGCTCGTCCCCCCTCAATAGTTTACAAAAATTGACACTTCTGCCAACACTTGTTGGTGCGGTTTAGGCATCGGCATCAGCGTCAGACCGACCGTGGCGCCGGCCCAGCCCTGCGTCCGTATTTCAAGGCGGTTTTCCCGGTGGAATGGTGGCTGTCATAATCTGACTGGAATACGCTTACGTTTGTTCAGCCTTGTGCTGTGGGCGTCAATATCATTCCAACACACGCTCTGGTAAACCCCAGCTGGCACTTGGCGGGCTATCCCGCCGGGCGTCGGAGCTATGCGGCACACTCTACCGCGCGGCGTGCTGCCGAGCTCCGCACCGATCACGACCGTCCTCCGATTTGACAACATCCAGCAAATGCACATTCCTTTGGAAGCGTACGATCCTAGCAAGTGCGATGACAGTCTTTATCTGTAGGAATTGGCTCCACCAAAAATCGGTTCTAAGTGAACTGAGTAGACATTTACGTCATCTCCTGATGACGCCCCGACTTTCTTTTTCCCTGTCATGTTGGTTCGGTCGTCACAGTGTAATCATGTGTTGAACTATTTGCGTTCACAAAGGAATCATTGCGGTATATCGGTGCTTTCAGATATATTTGAGAGCAAGAACTCGCTCTCAAATATGACATCATTTTCGGCCATACTATTAAGGTGAATTCAGCTGGACACAACGTTACCGAGCTGCCAGTATTTCCGCTGCCTTGTATTTGTTGAAAACAAAACATTGTCTCGTAGAGTCATAGTTTATGCCCTTCTCTGGAATCATCAGTCTGTGAGTTCATTTAACAGGCCTAGGTTCTTTTACGGGCAACTATCTGTCAACTGCTAATGGTAAACCTTAACCAACTTTTTAATTTCTACTAAAGATACCTTAATGGCTTTCCGGGAGGAGATCATTCAGGACAACTCCTTTGACTGGCATGGCTGATAACAAAAGATTCATGCAACCTGTGGTCTAGACGTCTAAAGCACTCCAGGGTTCAGGAAAGAAACATCATGTTAGATTTTCCAGAGATATGAGATGCCTTGCCGCTTTTCATCCTCCCTGGAATGACCTGCACAATGTCACGGGTGCGGTTACATGGTCAACGTCTACATGACAGACCCGAGGACATAAGTTGATTTCTACGTTTTAGATTGAACTTTTTTAGCTACATTTTTTTTGGTTTTAACAGCTCTCTTACCTATCATACCACATAGTTCGCATCAAATAACTAAACATTACATTTGTGTGGCCCTGTTTTCTGGAGACACGACAATTTTAAGTTTTTGACGCCAAGTGAGCCGACTTTTTTAAGGACAACTCGGAAGAACGCAGATTCAGATAATTTTCTTTACAAATTTGCAGCATTATGAATCATGCCAGGTGCTTTCTGACTAACAGGCAAATTAACCAAAAACAGTTCCTAAGTGAACATTCAATGAGACTAATCGCTCACACTGCAGCCTTCACGATTTTACAGTGTCTCAGAAAGCGATGCTTGTGACTCCGGCTACAGCACTAAATCTGTTAGTGCCCTAGATATCTGTTAGATAACGGGGAAGAGGAAGCTTTTTCGTATTCATTAGAACTGTTTACTGTGTTCCAGTTCGTAGATTAGAGGGTACTCTAACACGTGACTGTGGGCTACCAACACTGCACACAAACACGGCCATTCGAATCACCATTAGTATTTATTTCTCAGCTTGGCAGCTCTTGGATACCAACCTATCTACAGCTGCAGCTGCACTTTCGCTAGATGATGCATTCAAACACTTTGCACCTGCTAGGGGAGGGGAAGGCGCAGACGGAGTGCTTCTGGTGGCTATCACGCCTATGTGGGCCGTATGACTGAACTAGGGAGGGGGAAGGCGCAGACGGAGCGTTTCTGGTGGCTATCACGCCTATGTGGGCCGTATGGGTGAACATGCGCCAGTATCCAACCAATGTGCCCAAACGGTCTAGCGACTAGCCTATGGTCCCCTGACAACATTTGGCTGCGCCTAGGACAACTGGTCCAAACTACAGACTATTGCACACGTTTGTTTCATGGCGTGTAGCGCCTATCCTACGGCGACGTAGCAGTGGTATCTAACACTGCGCTCTTCACCCAGCAACCGTGCACTGTACAACGTGCAGAAGACACGGTAACGTCTGTGCTACGTTGCTACGTGCCGCTGCGTTTCCATGGTCGGCTATTTCCTGGAAAGGTTCTTCGACAGATGCTCTCTCGACTAGAGCCAAATAGCATCACACGAAGCTTATCGCATACCGTCGATGACCTGAGGCGGCCACTCTCGCTCCTGTTCCTGCATAGGGTCAGCCGGCTCCTGATCGGGGGCGGGAGCCGCCGCCTCCGCCTCCTTCTTCTTGCTCTTCTTCTTTTTCTTTTTCTCTGTAATGGTGGCCAGCAATGTCGGTGCGTGAGCCAGTTCTCTCAGATGCGTATACCTCCGAGAAAGCTTAATGTGTTGCTGGAACATCACCTGCGTCTTGTTTGAGGCCTTAGCCTTCGGGCATCTCATGTAACCAGGTCATCGACGTCATTATGCTTTTGCCTTTAATTACAAAAGTGCAGATGTGCCTCGAGGGATGTCGCTAATGGCCAAGCCCGTGCCAGAAGCGGGACAAGCCAACCAGACACCGCAGGCAGCGCCAAATCCGGCCCTGGCGGTGACCCTGGCCGCCGACTAATCGCCCGCGGCGCCCCCTGGGGCTGGTCTCATGACGACCCCAGCCGCCAGACGGACGGGGCTTTGATGACGCCCGAGGGACGTCAAGGATGCTCTAACGTAAGCCGCCGGCACGAAGCCGACGACTTGTCACCGAGACGCTGCCAGCGCGTCGACTTCGCGGCGCGCCGCCCGGCTGATCTTGGCAGACGCCCTGGCACGGACAGCGGGACGCCGGCCGATGTAAGGGATATGAGAGAGGTGTTTTGACGGCTGGAGATATCGAGCGCCCAATGTCTGTCTCGCGAAATCCATTTGCGCTGCCAAGCCTTGATTTATACTAACGGAACATTCTGCTGCCGTTCAATGTGTTGAATAGGCCCCATAAATTTGGTAACATCATCACAATATCAAAGCATTGACCTCAATTTTCGGCGTTATTGACAATATGTATCTAATAAGCAGCAACGGTGCTCTTAGTTGCTGAATGATGATAAAACGTCGAATTAATAGCTTGCTACTGATATTGTTGAGATAAATAGATGCTACTCCCATTCATTACCGGACAACTTCACTATTGGCCAAAGGCCTAATGAAAACAAACATGCTGTCAGCACCAATGCTATTCTACTACACATTATAGCACACAACGCAACACGTTTTCCGCGCTGTCTTGTTACGTATCGCCTAGTAGCTCAAAAGTGTTGGCGCGTTTTCCGAAGTTTACGGTGCCGTGAGCCGTTATTGCCAACCCCTGGCGCGTACTACACTGCAACATTATTACCTGGCCACCCAACAACGCCCAACGTCACCTGGCCGCTGCCTGGCCAACGCCAGCCGGGCTCTTCCGCTCGCGCCCTTTCCTGCGCCGGCGGCAGGTCACGGCCCGCCAGCTGGCGGTGACCCGACCGGCCGGAGCAGCCGGCGCCGCCGCCCGGCGCCCCGTCTCTCGCCCCCCCCCCCCCCCCCACGAGCCGCCCGCAGCGGCGATGTGGAGGTGGCGCAGCGGCGTCCTGCCCGACCGAGTCGTCAAAACAAACACCGTCGCCAACCGACGGATGTCCGCTGGGGGCCGCATACTTACAGCGTCCGGGGACTGCTGACGTTAGAGTGGAAGTCGACGCGGGTGGCTTTCATTTGACAACGGCCGACCCACAACACATGCCAGATGTCTTCACTTTGTGGGTGTTGGATGCCGCGGGAGCAGGATGCTTCGGTGAATGACTGCGTAATGTTGCAGTCCGCCCGTTCAAAACGGCAACCGATCATCCGGCTCACCAAATTATGCTCAAGTGACTATGAAGTGTTTGGAGGCGTGCATGTCAAGCTGACGATACCTCCGGTCACAGGATAAGCCGCTCACAGACTGCTGACTGTTTAAACGGAGTATTGAACGGATTATCTGAACATCTGAACAGAATTTAATCAGCATGCATACTAAGTAGATCATTCGCAAGGTCATCCCTCGTATTCAGATGGCCCTGAGCCCTGCAAATTAAACACAAACATGCAGCTTGTCTGATCATGCCAGGCTACAATCGGCTGCAAGTTGTGGGCAGCTGCAATGAATTATAAGAAAGAGTCAGATCACGTTTCAAGGATTTTACGGATGACCTTGCAAACGGGATCTAAACAAGCGTTCTAGCTAAGCCAAATCATCAGACCTGCTTGCGCCCACTCAGCCTCTGCAAACGGAAGGAAATCTGTGTGTAGCTCAGACAAGTCAGCTGACTTCCACCTAATGCACGTTATCCACAGCATGTCATACATTTCTGCTGGTAGGATTGCTTTGAGTTCACAATGCGTGTCTTGCTTCTTACGAAAAACAACAACAACACGCCGCGATGGAAACAAGATAATCGCTGCGACTGCCGATCATGAAGAAGCTTCCCGACGACTGCGAAGCAATACCTGGAAATGTTTTGACACCTTTTGGTTTTGTTAGGCATAATAGCGTCTCTCAAACCGGCAACAGTGCTGGGAAGTCACACAGTGGCACAGCTCTTCTAATCCGGGCGGCACACGGACGGCATCCTCGCAATCTGCTCGCCACACCGGTGCAGAATGCAGCCAAAGTCCAGAGCACCGAACGTGCCCGCGCTCTGGCCACAGGCCCGCTGCCACGAGCCGGGCCGTGGCGCGCCGTCCCGCCTCTGCCATTCAAGGGCAGCCGAGCCAATGTCTACGAATGATGTGGCGCGACTCTGACCCGACCGTTCAACAACCTACCGTTTGTGTCCGCCATGTCCCGCAAATGAGTCCTCCAACGTCCGTGAGCACCTGCAGAAGACTGGCGGCCGCACCGGCGCGACCCGGCCGCTGCTCCGACAGCGCGTCACGTGACCTCGACCAAGCCAACCAGCCATCCAACCGGGTCCCGGCAATTTAGAGGACGCAATATGACCACCGCAGCTGATGAGCTCCTAAGCACGACCAAGTAAACAAATCCTGGCAATGCGACTTCACCAAAGGGCAGTGATTTCCTGGTTTCATGTTTGTGACCGAGGGATTGAGGACACCGCAGACATTTCGAGTTGATATTGGTCACAATAAACAGCACTGCATGTCTGCGCCGTTTTCATGGTCTAATATCCGGTTTAGGCCACGCCGTCTGGTGTTCGATATGGGTTTCGGTCAAAATGACCACAACCGCTCTCCCTTGGATTACTGGCGCACCGTTGGATCATACAGTTCTGGAATCTGTTAACCAGAAGCTGCTCTCGACAGATTCGCCTAGACCGTATAATTAGCTTCACGTCTTTATCTGTTCTGGTTACTGAGAACTGATGTTGATCTTCGAATCGCCCCAAACAGCGCGTGGATCCATCGGCTGCATTTGCGCACCATGGAGTGCAGGATCATCTGGGTACGGAGACACACACTTTTGCCAGGACGATTTCTTGTTTCTCATCCAGCAGAATCTACTTGCTCTCCAGTTTCTTGTCTCCGCATTTTTTAAAACAGTCACTTGGGAAAGCTTTGCAAAACAATTTCTCGTGAAATTGCGTCACATGACAATTTACCAGAGAAATTTAGTTTTCCGAATAGCGTGGATGCTCATGCATGCAAATTCATACAGAATACTTCTGAAGAATCACATCCGTTGTTCCTGAAAACTGCTTAAACCTGCATTTTGTCTTTAGAACAGCCACACCGACGCCGGACCGCTCCCAGCTCCGGTGCTGGTGGAGGTCAGGGGCTCAACCAGAGCGGACTGAGCCTCTTCCCGTCTCAGTCGATCGCTCCCAAGGTGCAGACAGCAGTGTAGGTACAGATCACTACCAAGGCGCAGACAGCAGTGTAGGTACAGATCACTCCCAAGGCGCAGACAGCGGTGTAGGTACAGATCACTCCCAAGGCGCAGACAGCAGTGTAGGTACAGATCACCCCCAAGGCGCAGACAGCAGTGTAGGTACAGATCACTCCCAAGGCGCAGACAGCGGTGTAGGTACAGATCACTCCCAAGGCGCAGACAGCAGTGTAGGTACAGATCACTCCCAAGGTGAAGACAGCAGTGTAGGTACAGATCACTCCCAAGGCGCAGACAACAGTGTAGGTACAGATCACTCCCAAGGCGCAGACAGCGGTGTAGGTACAGATCACTCCCAAGGCGCAGACAGCAGTGTAGGTACAGATCACTCCAAAGATGCAGACAGCGGTGTAGGTACAGATCACTCCCAAGGCGCAGACAGCAGTGTAGGTACAGATCACTCCAAAGGTGCAGACAGCAGCGTAGGTACAGATCACTCCCGAGGTGCAGACAGCAGTGTAGGTACAGATCACTCCCAAGGTGCAGACAGCAGTGTAGGTACAGATCACTCCAAAGATGCAGACAGCAGTGTAGGTACAGATCACTCCAAAGGTGCAGACAGCAGTGTAGGTACAGATCACTCCAAAGATGCAGACAGCAGTGTAGGTACAGATCACTCCCAAGGTGCAGACAGCAGTGTAGGTACAGATCACTCCAAAGGTGCAGACAGCAGTGTAGGTACAGATCACTCCCAAGGTGCAGACAGCAGTGTAGGTACAGATCGCTTCTGAGGTGCAGACAGCAGTGTAGGTACAGATCTCCCCAAGGTGCAGACAGTGTCCCCACGCTCGGCAGCGGGCATGCCCCCATAACAAGACCAATCCTTCATGTCTGGAGGGAGAGAGTCTTTCCACGGTCTCTTTAGGCCTCATCGGGATTTCTTCCAATGCTTTCCAGTCTTCTTCAGAACGGAGAATGAATCATCGATATCCGTCGAGCCTCCAGACAAGGGGAAACAGCTTCCGATCTATTGGATGTGAATGAGATGCTTTTGCGAGCTATCCGGTGACAAACTGCAAAGATGGAATCGAATTTTCAAAGATCACCCTTGTTACAACAAAGTCAAAGCTTTGCATTGGTATGCAACCACTAACGTTTACAGCGTGTGCTTGTGTAGAACATCTGTCGAAGCATTGGCATGTCTGCTGTATTAGCAAGCCGAGTGACAAATCGCTTCTAACCATAGTAGCTTTAATCCGGGTCGTTTTTAGCAGGTGATAGAAATATGTTACAAGCTATGCTATACGAGTGCTGACGTCACAAATCGGTGGTGACACAGTATATTTCCAACGCTCCAGCAATGAGTGATTTCACAGACTTTTCAGCCAAGATTCACGTTCAAATTCACGATTTGTTTATGACAGCATGAAATAGCAAATAACTAGGTTTCTTATTAGTCGTGAGAAGCGTGCGTCGTCTGCAGCCCTTGGCTGCAAACGACCCAGGCGCGGGGGCTTAGCTTCGCAAGTTGGGTTGGGGACTAATGAATGAAAATGACGCAACCTACCCCCAAAATACGCTAACAAACGTATTTCTCCCGGAGTTGGCCCTGTTTCTTCTCAAAGATGGAAGGAGGGGGCTGAAGCCCGAGTTTGGGCGTGGGTGGGAGGGCCGGAACCCACCAAGCTGAATAGGAAACTACACCGCTGCCCCAGCGGTTCACAGTGAGGTACTGCGGACGACCAAGGTGCCACCTGGCGGCAGCCACAATGGCGCCGGAGACGGCCGGCCCGCCTAAGGGCTGGCCCGTCCGGCTCTGGTGTCTCCGGCCCCCGAAATAGCCGGCCGGCCGGGTGACATGACGGACACGGCTGCCACCCTGACCCCATGGCAGTGGAGGGAGAGGGGGGAGAAGGGGGCAGGGTCAGCCGCGGCCGCTGCCAGGTATGACACGCTTGGACGCGGATGGGCGGCTGCTGCAGGCCGCATCGCTCTCTTGCGCTGTGCAATGCCGTCCACGCAAACGGCGCACAGTTGCAAGTTTTTTGTGTCCTCCATACAAGTGTTTCGCCATTTTGCGTACTCTGACCGTAAGCTATGCTTAGAACATCAGCTCGTACGTCGGCCGGTAATAACAAATATTTCGCGATTCAAGGCGCCAAACGCGTAATCTCCCGGGCTGAATAACGTTTGAATGCACCGCGAAGAAACATGTCCTAATTTTAACCGTTCTAGTGAATACATCCATTAACCGCGAGCCAAATGTGAATAACGCAGTCGACAGCATTTGCTACGTAGACCACCGCCGCCAACACGTACAGCAATTGCTGTGGTTTACACTTTGATACAAATCCCCACTCAGATCAGACCGAGTGTGTGTGCCCATTTGACCATGAACCACGAGAACTGGAACTCTTCCGGCGGCGGCGCCCGGTCGCAGGGTGTGTTTGTGATTGGTGGTGACGTCAGTCGTGACGGACCAATGGCGGGCGTCGGCGACGGACCGATGGAGGGTGTCAGGTGTCCGGGCTACATATCGCGTCTGTTAGCTCGGCGCCCACCTGACCACGATAGTGACCGATAAACGGTCGTGAATCAGGCCGAACCCCCGGAGCTCTCTCCGGCCTCGCTCCGACCCGTTCAGCTCGCGTGCTGGATAACTTGTGCCAAGTTCACATCAGAACGCTTCTGTTTGGTCCCGAAGACAATCCAAAGCTGCAGGCTTTGACGGCATTTAAACAACCCTGCCTACCTTCATCCTCATATCTTATGGGGGACTCTGCACCGCAGGTATCTGCTGTTCTCAACAGACAAGTTCATTAACAAGCCACCTTCAATGGCCTTCAGGCAACTGAAGGTGACATGGGTGAGCAGAAAAGTGACACGAGGGTGACCACATAAATGATGTGGCAGCGGTGATCAAGAAAGTGACGCGAGGAGACCGAGAGGATAACACGAGCGAGGATATGCTGGCAACGAGGGGAAAACCAATAAGGGGGACATTCAGGGCGCACTACGCTGCGTAATCAAGGGAGACTGACCAGGTCCCAACACACTTTTTCACGGACGCCAGGCTTTAGTGTGCAGGATCATAACCAGCTCCGCCATGCGTGCCAATTCTTCGACATTAACCACAACCAGCTCTAACCCGTGGACCTAGTTATCTTGAGAGGGACGATCAGGGGAACATCGCGCAGGCGGCCATGGGACAAGGCTGCGAAAAATGGCTTCGGCTGGCGTGCCTCTCGACACCACTGTACCAGCGGTTGCCCAAACCATGTACAGGGTGACAGCAAGGCCGGAGCGGTGTCCCGAGGTGCGGAGAGACGCACCTGGTGCCCTGCTCCGAAAGGGGTCGCGGCCGTGACCAGTGCCGGCCGGCGGCGGGGGCACCGGTCGGACAGGCCCGCCCGCTGCCGCCGCCCCTGGCTCGCACCGGCGCCGCTATCTGGTCCGAGTGCGCCCGGTACGCCCCACAGGCCGGTCGTAGTGGGGGCTGAGGCGGCTTGAGCCCGACCACGCCCTGCTGACGCCCGGTTAGGGCACTCAGCGCACAGCCGCTGACAGCGTGACGACTCCACCTGCAGCTGCCGTCAGCGCCGCCAGCTGAGGCCTGCGGAAGCTGCCCAAGCGAGCGTGGCCCTTTCAGGTAGGAGGCAATCGGTGAAGGGACAACTACTGTAAGTATCGGGATTTACCATCCACGTTTTTACCATGAGCAAGGAAAGGTTTTTTTAAAGACATGGCTCAACTACCATCACTTCATTCCGCCATCCCTCGCTCTACACCAAACACATTTTTGAGAAGCGCGTGCACGGCTGTACATAGCGAGAGGTACTCATTTAGACAGATGTGATTTGGCGACAGTTTGAGCATGTGTGTCATTAGACCAAATTGCATGTTGCTGGTATATATCTGCTTTTTAAACACAGCCCTGCAACTGAGTATCCAAGTAAACAACGTTCCCGAGAGCCAAATTATGCTTCGAAAGTTACTGTGCTAAACGCCACAGGCGAGGAATAAAAGCCATATAGTATGTGTTTCCTTGAA